CATTTTTTACTGGGTGAGCTCCCTCCTGGGCTGTGGGAATTATGTGGGCATAATCTATCTTGACTGCAGCAAAGCTTTTGACAAATTGCCCCATGATATGCTGATTAGCAAACTAGCTCAAAATGGGCTAGATGGAACAATAGAAACGCAGACACAGAGCGAGTCAGAAGGGGCCTCCTGGGCCATCTAGTCTGACCCCCGGCTCCAGCCGGCTCTGCTCATGACATGCCCGCCATGTGATCAGGTGGATCCAGAGCTGACTACAGAATCAGATTCAAAGAGCGCTCATCCATGGCACCTTTTCAAACTTGGGGGGAGGTAACAAGTGGGGTGTCACAGGGTTCAGTCCTGGGCCTAGTGCTCTTCAACATTATTGTAAATGATTTGGATGAGAAAGCGCCTGGAATGAGTCTCAGATTTGCAGATGACACCCAACTGGATGGGAGAGCTCATAACCTGGAAGACAGAAACAAGATTCAAAGTGATCTTGGTAGGTTGCTGAGCTGAAAACAACAGAATGAAATTCAGTAGGGACAATGCCAAGTTCTGCACCTAGGAGAGAAAACAAATGCATCAGTACAAGATGGGGAATACGTGGCTCCGCAATACTGCAAGTCTTGGAGGTGTTGCGGATCACAAGCAGAACACGACTCACCCAGCAAGGTGATGTGACTGCAAAAAGGGCAAATGCTATCTCAAGCTGCATTCATAGAAGTACCACTTCCAAATCACATGAGGTACTAGTTCCTTTGTGCCCAGCACTGGCTCGGCCTCATCTGGAGTCCTGGGTCCAGTTCCGGGCACCACATTTTAAGGAAGATGCAGACAAGCTGGAAAGGGCTCAGAGGAGGGCAACGAGGACGATGCAGGGCCTGGAGGCAAAGCCCTGTGAGGAGAGATGGAAAGAACTGGCCATGCTTAGCCTCAAGGAGAAAAAGATGAAAGGGAGATGTGACAGGACTCTGGGAAGGCTGCCACAAAGAGGGAAGCCGGGATCTCTTCTTGATCATCCCAAAGTGCAGGACACAGAATAAGGGGCTCAAGTTACAGGAAACAGAATCCAGCTGAGAATCAGGAAGACCTTCCAGGCTGTTAGAGCAGTCTGACAATGGAACAAATTCTCTAGGGAGGCGGTGGGCTCTCCCACACCAGAAGCATTCAGGATGCAAGTGGACACCCACCTGAGAGGGGTGGTGTAACCTGCAGCCCAGCACTGAGCAGGGGGTTGGCCGCAAGGGCCCTTCCAACTCTGCAACTATGATTCTAAGTACAATCCCCTTTACAGGCAAATGGGGAAGCAGCTGGCTTTGGCTTGGCTTGGCAGAATCCCGTCTCTGCCAGAGCTGAACTTCTTATTTCAGACCCACACTGAACATCTGCCAGGAAATTGTTCCAATAAATGGCAGAGGCTCTTTATGTAGTTTGTGCATGACAAGAAGTCCCATGTTGCCAATAAACCAAAGAAGGGAGCCTGGAATGGCCACACACACCGTCCCTTCTCCATCTGTGGCAGAGAAAACAGAACTCCCAACAAATGCACCAGCTGTGGGGAAAGTCATGCAGAATCCTTCTTCATGCTTGCATCCAATTGTCATCACATGGCTACCTTTGGAAATATTTACCCACATCCTCTGCAGCGTCTTTACAAGCCCATAAAGAGGTCCTGTGGCTTCCAAAGGGCAGCACGCATCAGCCTTGTGAACGCCTTGGCAGAGGAACTGCCGTCGCGCGTCATCCCTTTGGCCACTTCTGTGAAAGAGGCAGATTATTGGTTAGAGTATCATGACATTCATATCCTGGGTTTTTCCTCTTTGCAAGGGACCCGTGGCAGCTGGCACAGTCCTCCTCCCTTCCTTAATATCACTACCATTCTTGGGAAGTTTGCTCATGATTTCTCTCTTCGTTCGAGAGAAAAACAACAAACCCTCCAACATCATCCCTCTGTTTGACAGTCGACTAAGCCTGCCTGAACTATCTTGCTTTCCAGAGGGGAGCAGACAATGGAACTGCCCAAAGGAGCACGGGAACCCATGTGGGTCTAGTTATTTGGGTTCCACAGTCCTGGTGCCCAAAATGTGTCTCAGACTGTCCCAAACAATAGAGGTTTTCCAGAGAAGGGCCATTGCCACGCAGAAGGTCTGTTCGCAAAACGCCACCAGATCTCGGCTGCACGATCTGTGTGTGCATCCTTCAAAGTCACCTGCACACCTGCACTGCCTCCCAGGTGGGCACACACTCCTGGAAGGGGCTTCAGCGACTCACAAAATGTTCTGTGCCGCTTACCATTGGTCCAGATGCCCTGGGGTCAAACAGGAAGAAAAAAATCATCAGAAGCTCTGAGCCAGGTAGAAATTCAACCAGGATAGTCTCTCCTTCATTAAACATACAGTGGAGAAAGGAAGTCGTTAGAAATTCTGTCTCAAATGCCGTTATTGTAAAAAGCACAAGATTTCTGCCAGGAAGAAAAGGCGGCGGTGATCAAATGCATTTGTTGGATACTGTCAACTGTGTCACGTGCTCAGAAGTCATAGAGAATGTCAGAAAATCCCGGAATTTCAATTTGTGAGGAGGAAGTAAAACTCGGGTTCGTGGGAAAGATCAAGCGTCCAGACCATCTGTGGCTTTATTGTTTGGCCCAGGTTCCTGTGGTAGACTCACAATAATGCACTACCTGGCGGACAGAGGTGAACTCGCTGCAAGGCTTCAATACAACTACAGGGTATTTTATACCCTCCTGGTCACGTACACAGGCACAGAGCAATTGATGACAGAATGCAGGGATTCCAATAAAATTCTGAGGTCACCATATACAGAACAGATAAAGGAATGTCAGTCAATCATACGGTGACAATGAGATTACAACACCTCCAATTGCAGTGTATTGACACTTCAGCTTGAACCCATCTCCAGGCCTGCTTAGACATGCAAATTCAGGCTGCTGAGAAACCACTCATAAGCTCAGCTAGACTCAGACCCTAAGCAATGCATCCCCACCTTCTGAATGGCCAGGGCACAGGGAGCCCTCTGGGCTAGCAAAGATACTTCCTGGTAAACTGTGAATTCCAACAATGATTATTTAATCATTGTGAAGGTATATAATGTATATTTGGACTAAATGGCCTGTCTACCGTAGCCTACAGCTAAAGGTGAGAGAAAGGAGCGGGGGATGAAGGCCATTTTAAACAGGGACAGCTTGGTTTGAGAAGGCGTACAGGATTGATTCCACAATGCAAAAGCACCCAGAAGCAATGCTTTTCGGACAGGATTTATCCAAATTTTCCCAACAAGAACAAAAGCCCTTTCCCACTTGATCACGCAGCCAGGCAAGTCATGGGATCTGATTATTTACACACTAGCTCCTGCACATGTGTGCCACCCACGTGGAAAATGTGCAAACGTGGTTATGTGCAAACCAGCCTAGCCAACGTGGCTTAGCAATGACAATGAGTTGTGCTTGCACTTAGTTCAAGCTCTTGCTCAGGCACAGAGTGCATCGTGGTCAGAGCAGATGCCCTGCCCTGCCGCCCTACAACTCCCATCATCCCAAGCCAGATTGATTGATTGATTGATTGATTGATTATTTATTTATTTATTTATTTGGAATTCTTGTATGCCGCCCCCTTCGCATAAGCCTCGGGGCGGCTTCCAACAAGTAAATAAATAACTATACAAATACATATAAAAACTGGAAACATCCTGGTATAATGATTAAAACCAATAAATAAAATTAACAATTATTAAAATATCATTTAAATAAAAAGGTCTTGGCCTGGCGCCAAAAAACAAATAATATTAGTGGTAATGTAGTGGTAATTTATTATGTTCTATTGTATTTCAATGTATCTTATTGTGTTGTAAGCCGCCCCGAGGCTTCGGCAAGGGGTGGCATAGAAATATAATAATAATAATAATAATAATAATAATAATAATAATAATAATAATAATAATGTCTAGGAGGCACTAGGTTGGGGAAGGCTGCGTTCAAGTGTGCTAACCTAGCACTGTGGAGACGAAGATTCAAATTCTATTCACTGGTGACAATCGGCAGCTGACATGCCAGCAGCTGCCGTCTTCAATGGACAACCTCCTAGGGTTGTTGTGCAGACCAGATGAGGTGGTGGGGTAGGAATGAATCACGTGGGCCACCTTGAGCTGTTTGGAAGAAAAGCGGGGGCAAACAGGCTCCCCATTTGTTATCCTAAAGCACCTTACAGGGTTGTTGTGAAAAGAAAATTGGGATGGGATGGATTAAGGTGGAGAGAAAGTGACCCGCGCAGAGTAACTTGGCCAAAGGGCAGGACCGAAACGCCAGCGAATGAACGAGTCAAAGAGTGGCTTTGACTCGTGAAATTTAAGAAATGCATCTTCTTGCCAAGGCAGAAAAGGGTGGATCGGTTCAAAACGGTGTCTTGCAAAAGAATGTTCCAGTGGTTTGTAAATAAAATTATGTCGATTTTCCCCGCACCCGCGAGGGAAGAATATGATAACTCGCATTCCGTCTCTGGCTTGCCTCCCCGCTGCCCTAACTTGCCCCTCTGCTCCTTTAAAGCCCAACCTTCCCAGCCGGGGTCAATCAGACCTCCCCTCTCATCACTCCTCGGGGGGCGGCGGAGACCGCGCGGACGGGCGTGCCCCCCCCCCGGCGCTCCTCTGCAGTTGAAAGCCCCTCGGGCGACTCGGCCCCGGAAAGCGTGCAAGTGTGGAACGCGCGGGCTCTTGCGGGGGCGAGCGCGCCAAGCCGCGGCGGGCCGGGGGGGGGGGGCCGCCCGCGCCGGGGCGGCCCTTGGCCCGCCCCCCCCCCCTCCCCCCCCCCCCCCCCGCCCGGCCCGGCCCGGCCCGGCCCGGCCCGGCCCGGGGCGGGCGCTCGCTCCACTTTTCCTTCCCGCGGGAGGGGCTAGAAGGGCACCGGCGGGGCTCGGAGAGCTCACCTCGGAGCGGCGCTTCTTCCGCCTGCGCGCTCGGCGCGGCTTGGATGCGGCGCCGCGGGCGGCCCAGAGGATCGCGCCCGGAGGTCAGTGCTCCGCAGGAAAGTGGGGGGGGGGGGGGGGGGGGGGGGGGGGGGGGGGGGGGGGGGGGGGGTGGGGGGAGAGGCGGTTCCCGGTTGGCCAAGCCCGGCCTCGCAACTCCAAAACTGTAAAACGTCGGGCAGCAGATGTGGGCGACGCTGAGGCTCGCCTCGCTCCATTGCAGACGGGCAAACGGATTGTCGTCTATTCCCGTGTACGTGTGAATGCACACACGCCTCGCCTGGGTGTCTGGGTTTCACGGACATACAGCCGTGCATAAGTGTCCCTACGTGCCTTCTCATCATGCGCACGTGTATCCAGACGCATGCACAGAATTGCGCGTCTTTTGTATGGAAGGGGAAGCTGCTTGAGTTGTTACGGAATGCCCAACCGCAGCTTGACTTTTCCTTCGCGTCCTGGTTGACATCTCTGGGACTGTGTGTGCTCTCTTAGCCCCTTCTCCTTCACCCCACCATCTATGGGATGGGGGAAACTGGGCAGTAGTTTGGCATGGGCAAAATGTGCTCAAAGGAACGTTCAGAGTAATGCTTAATATGCACAGCTCTGTGCTGGTTTTCTCCAAGAAGGCCAGCCGGGCAGGGCTATATGTACTCCCTAGGCTGAGAAACGTGACTGGATGCTGGGTGGAAACAGAAATCGGGGCCCTTTCCGTGAGACCCAGTTTGGCTCAGAGGTGAGAGTGTTGGCTTGAGATGTGGGGACCTCATTTCAAGTCTTCACTAAGCTGCAAAGCTCACTATGGGATTCCAGACCAGTCGTTGACTACCAGCCTAATGGACTTCACTGGGTTTATTTGTAATATTCTGCCCTTTTTCCGTTTAAGGAACTCGGAGCAGCTTACGTAATTCACTGGCTCCTCTCAGTCTTATCCTCATAACAACAGCCCTGTAGGGTAGAAACATAGAAACAGAGCGAGTCAGAAGGGGTCTCCCAGGCCATCAAGTCTGACCCCTGACTCCAGCCGGCTCCACTCACAACATGCCCGCCATGTGGACGTCCAGCCTATCCTTGAACACCCGCACCGATGGGGCCTCAATCTCCTCCCGTGGAAGCCCATTCCACACCCTCGGGGTCCTGACTGTCAGGAAGTGCTTCCTGGCATCCAAATGGACCTTGGCTCCCTGAGCTTTGCTCCGTTGGAGCGCATCCTGCCTTCCTCTGCAGGGGAGGACAGGTCTCTGCCCAGCCTCTCAGGGTAGGTCACACTGAGAGCCTAGGACTGGCCCAAAGTCACCCAGTGACCTCCATGGTTCAGTGGAGACTAGAACCCGGGGTTATTGTTATTTATTTTATAAAATAATTTTTATGTTATTTATACTGATATTTCTGTAAGCCATCCTGAGGCTGTGGTAGAGGATGGCATGTGACTGTTTTATTAATAATAATAATAATAATAATAATAATTCTGAGGATAGCGCTGTAGAAGAGGACAACCATAAATGCCACTTTGGGTTCTCCACAGGAAAAGGCAAGATATAAATATAAAAACAGCAACCTACTTTCACACTCAACCTTCTGGAGGGCATCAGCCTTCCCTGACCTGATGCCCTCCAGATCTCTTGGACTTCAGTTTCTATCAGCCGCTACAAGCATAGGAGTCCTGAGTACTATAGTCCCAAAGCAGTTTGGTATTTACATAGCATTTCCGAGTCCCCAGAACAATGCATATACATTAGCATAATCAATTCTGTAATCGGGTTATCACCATGTTGCTGATGAGAAGAGCAGCTTAAGACAATGGGGCAAGAACTGAATTAGTCACTTATTAGAAACTCCTACTCTTGGCATTGTACCATTAAAATACAAACTACAAAAGTGCAGTTTCTCTCTTGCCTTTGAAAATGACTGCAGAAATCTAACCTTTTACATTGTGTAGACAAGTTGTGCAAACTTACAAAATCGGAAGTGGAAATGCTTCCTTAGCAGTTTAGTGCATCAGGCTGCCCACAAAAGGCAAGGTGAGAAGACCAATTTGATTCATGCTGCTGTATACAAAGCTGCGCGCTCGCGCTCGCTCACTCACTCGCTCTCTCTTTCTCTCTCTCTCTCTCTCTCTCTCTCTCTCTCTCTCTCTCTCTCTTCTTTTGCAAGGGATGGCAGAGCATTTCGTATTCTTCTCCTGGCCTAAGGGTTCAGTTTCTCTGAGCACATGCAGAGTACTTTTCCTTCACTACTGAATAAACCTACTGTTGGATATGTATCTGAAATCAGAGTGCAGGATTTCTAAGCTTAGGAAAATGAATGCACCACTAAACCCTGCTACCCCCCCCCCCCACAGAATTCCTTTGGAAAGTCCTGTGGCCAGAAGCAGGTGAGTTTATTTTATCACAGGCTGGGAGTCTTGTACACATTCCTATGTCTGCAGTAGGGTACCTGTCTTGCAAGGTTTGCTGGTCCCACCTACATTTGCCCTCTCTCTCTTGTACTCTCTCTCTTACTTTTCCCGTATGTAGAAAGATACCTTCTCAGGGACAAAGGCTCAAAACTAGTCTCACTGAAAAGTAGTTCTCCATTTGGAGGAAGACTTGTTTTTAAATAGGAAGCACTGAAGGGGAAGATGTCTCGCCTTCAGTCGGAGGCTGACATCATCCATATAACACTTCATCATGCTACTGGCGCTGCAAGGATAGGGAAAGGGAAATTTCCGCAGCCTTGGGAGAACCCCAAGATTTGCAGAAGTTACAAAGCAAGAGGAGAGGCAGATGGAATAACCACACCATACCTTGTGTTCACTAGCCCTCCATCTGGGCATGCCCAAAATATGCTCACTTGCCATGGGATATCAGCTGGTTTTTTTGTTTGAGGAGGACTGCAGGGGCAGAGCTGACTCGCTGGAACAGTGAGCAGCAGGCATCCACGCTGTAACATTTTGTTGCGGGTCCTGCTTGTCTGTTTGCCAGGGTGAGCTGCACAGGATTTCCTTGGCATGCCATTTCCCCCTGTCGCCCTGGGTGCCCTCTAGACCTCCGAGCCTGTTAATGCGGCTTCCTAATGGATGCCATGGGAGGCTTGGCAGCTTCTGCGTTCCATGCGTTGTTGCTGCTTTGTGTTGTCAAGGCATCTCTGGCTTAGTGCGGCCCTGTGGATGAATGCGTTTCAGAACATCCTGGCCTTGACAGCCCCGCTCAGCTCTTGCCGCCTCCAGGCTGTGGCTTCCTGGATGGAATTGCTCCATCTCCTCGCTGGGCGTCCTTTCCTCCTTCTGCCTTTGACTTTGCTGTTCTGGCGGCTTTGGCCTGCCCACAATGAACCTGAAGAGCGGCAGTTTCACTTCTGCCATTTTTGCGTGGACTCGCTGCTCCGTATGCATGGTGAATATACACCAGCCTTGCCCAAACTGGTAGCTTCCAGTTCTTTTGGACTTCAACTTCCATTAGCCCCGGCCAGAATAACCAATGGTCAGGGATGTATGGGGTCGCAGTCCCAACCATCTGGTGGAGACCAGCTTTGAGAAAAGGACGTGCGTCTTAAGGTCTCTAATCGTAACGCTTTCGCGGTGATCGGAACAGCCTCGCTTAGCTTGTTGGGCGGTTATTTAACAATGATGTGTCCCTCTTGTCGCTGTTTTTATTCCTAGTGCAAATGATAACGCCACACGAGGAAGTCTTTTATTCCACGCCATCACCTTTGGGACATCCAGTCCCAGACAAGGGCTGGCCTTTCCTTCCCCCCTGAATCCGGCTGGGCATGAGGAAGAGACAACATTGCTGAACCGAGCCCTCCCAGCCTTGTGCCTTAGTCACAGCTGTTTCTAACCCTCTTCCCCCGATCTCTTTGGGAAGTGGGCAGCATCTTCAGCTCCCTGGAGACCTTCTTGCCTTGTGTAGTCATGGAGCCCGGCCTTCTAACTGCACCACTCGTACTTCTGTGCCTCTTGCTACATGATGTGGCTTCCCAGAACTTTGCCAAGAAACCAAAAGAACAACAGATGGAGCACACACTCCTGATCAATGAAGTCAATGCAGATAATCCAAGGGAAGACACCTCTGAATATTTGGAACTGTATCACACCAGTGGCCAAAGGACCAGTTTGGATGGCTACTCTGTGGTCTTCTACAATGGCAAAGGCAACAAAGCCTACAAAGTCAAGGACCTGAAGGGTCTTTACACTGACAACCAGGGTTTCCTCCTTATTGGATCCTCTACTGTGGTCCCACAGCCAGCAGTGATCCTTCCAAAGAACACAATCCAGAATGGGCCGGATGCTATTGCTCTCTATTATGGGAGGGCAGACTTGTGCGAGACCATGGAACTCACGAAGGAAGGACTTGTGGATGCTTTGGTCCACAAGTCCAAGGCGAGTGACCAAGCAGATGAGCTGGTCAGAGTCCTGACCCCGGGTGTGGAGCCCTTCCTGGAAGATCCTCTTTTCAGAACCGTGGATGAGTCGCTGGAGAGGTGCCAAAGGTCAGACTCTTCTCAGTGGTTTTTCCAAGTGGGTGCACCTACCCCTGGCTTGGATAATCACTGTATTCCCTTTGCACAACTGAATGCCTCCGTTGTGTTAATCAATGAGTTCAAGGTGGCATCTGCCCCTGATGAGTTTGAGTTCATAGAGCTGCAAGGCCTTCCTTCAACTCAGGTGAAGGACCTGCTACTGGTGTTGATTGAAGGAGCGACTCAAAGGGTTTACTTCACCATGGAGGTGCAGGGCGAGACGTCTCCTGATGGGCTGCTTCTCCTTGGCACGAACCAGTCCAGCATCCCAGGTAGGATTGGGGTCCTTTCCGTGGTGCTAGACTCTCAAGCACTCCAAGGGTGACCGCCGGCATATTTGGTGCAGCAGATGTGCAGATCTAATGGGGATAGACATGATTGGACACCTTGCCACAATTTTGGGCACCTCTTGTGAACCTTGACAGCTGGTCTTTTTTCTCCTCCTCTTCTTCCTGTGTGAAGATGGCTAACTAGCAAGAGTCGAAACACTCACACACAAAGGTTCCACCCAGACTTGCAGGACCAGTGAGCAAATGTATTTCAATCTTTGCAACAATTTTCTGTTCGGACCTTTGTTGTGCAAATGCTTATAAAATTGTAGGTGACCCTGGAAAGGGAAGTAGGGATTTTGTAAACTCCCTTCCACCCGTGTTTCACGAATGGTCAGGTGTCTTTTATTCCATTGACCACTAATTTTTTTAAACAGAATTTTGTTCTAGTTGTGTTAATGCTAATTGGCAGTGTTGCTAATGTGTGTTAAGTGCCAATGTTCACTTGCCCAAATACATCTGGGCAAGTTTTGTACCTTAGCACATCTGACGTAGTCCAGATCCTTGGCAAAAGTGAAAAACCAGTCCACAAGTTGGCAGAAAGCGTGTGTCTTGGACAAAGCTGGTTCAGGGCAAAATTTGCTGGCTGTCCTCATAGAAATCCAGACACATTTGAATCTCTTGCAGATTTCTCCGACGTGGCTAAATGATGACTTATTCCAGTTAGTGGTACAGCTCTGGCTGGATCTTGGGCTCAAAGTCAAGGGCCTGCAGCCCAGCGAACCTTCAACGCTCCACCTGGGGAGAGGCAGGTGCTGAGGACTTTGGAGCATCAGAAGGTTACGCTGATGTTACCCTTTACATGACGTTAAAACAGAATATTTTTGTCAGAGTTGGCAAACATGCTACCTTATTGGGAGTGCAGAAGCCGTTATAAAGCATGGCGTGGCAGCTGCAGGGACCGTCTGAAAGGGCGCCAGCAAGCAGTGGTGGCTAGTGGTGGGCTGGGCCTCAGAAGACTCCACGTCTCTTCCCATTTGTCCATAAAGTCCACCGACAGCCGGCCAAACCTGCTTCACGGGGAATTTTTAAGGATACATTGGAGAAACAGAGGAGAGCCTTCGGAAGAGGCCTTGGGAGTTGTAGGCCAAAACAACTGTCTGCCTACCCCTGTTCTAAAGCTTCCAGTGAAACCTTGAGGGCTGAGAAGCCTGGTGTCCCGCCTGGCTGGGTCTCTACCCAGCATGCCCTGCAGCAGGACAGGGCTCTCTGGGTAATATGCAGGGTAGCCCAGCCGCCGGAGGCAAAGACCAAGATGCCAAAGATCCTCACACTGCATGTGTGAAAGCCAACAGGATGAAGACTCTGCTTCTGCCACACCTGAAAAGCAGCAGGCTGGTTCAGGGGCCACACGGCACCTGGCTCTGTCTGAGGCAGCATCTCACCCTTCCTAATGGCAGGGCCAGGCCCCAGAGCACCTTCCACTCTGCAACTGCCTGGCTTATCGGGCCACTGCAATCCACGGGTCTTGCGCATGGCTCCTGCAACTTGTCCGCGATGCCGCTGTCAGGATAATGGCAAACGTTTTGTGATCTGTATGGTAGTTGCGTTCAGAGGCTATTTTGAAGCTTTGTAAAGCCCCATGCCGTGCCCAGGAAGTGACTGGGCCGATCTTTGCAGAACAGATACATTTCACAATGGATGGCTTGTGACATCTAATTTGTCAGAATCATCTAGTCAGCCAGAATCTGGAATATTCCCCATGAAGATCTGCTTGGTTTCCAGCCAAATGGGAGAAATGTTAACTTCCCATGGTGCTCGTGTATGCTTAACCATTCGCTGATGCCTCTGGCTGGGAGGATTTGGTTTTCAGCTCTGACATACCTGAGAGGCAGTGTGGTGTAGTGGTTAAGAGCATGTGACCGGGACTCAGGCAACCTGGGTTCTAGTCCCCGCTCGGCCATGGAGCCAACTGAGTAACTTTGGGCCAGTCACAGACTCTCGGCCAAGCTACCTCACAGGACTGTTGTTGTGGGGACAAGACTGAGAATAGGAGGAAGCAAATGTAAGCTACTTTGAGTGCCTAAGAAAAAAGAGGGATATAAATCAAATAAATGCCTGCTTTTATTTCAGACAAAGGCAGGATGTGCTGCATTGTGTTCCCAGGGATCCTTCTTTAAAGCTGCCTTTAATCAACCCTTGTGGTGGAGAGATATGATTTATTTCAAGCAAACAGCACCTTGTGCTTGTGGGGGATGATGGGAATTGCAGTCTGACACAGGCTGAAGGAGACTCTGCATCCCTGTGTTATGTTGATGTATAGATTTTTTTTTTTTTTTTGCGTTGGAGGGGGGAATATTATCTAAACTTACCTGCTTGTATGTTTCTCTTTGGGTTGCAGTTGATGTGCCGTTTCCCCAGAATTTCAGCAGGCCCCTCAGCCGGCCAGGTGCCAATGCCATTGCGCTCTATCAAGGGTCCAGCAGCAGCTTTGCTCTGGGGGCCACCGTTTCAGCAGTGAGCCCTCTGGATGCCCTGGTTTACACAACAGTGGAAGGCACCGATTCAAAGCTGCGGGACATTTTGACGCCTGGGAAACCCCTCTTCCATGTGAGAGAGCGGTAAGGAGGCTGCTTGGGGAATGTGTATGTGCTTGAGACGTTTCCTTCATGGGGGTGATTCTTTCTGAAGGAGCGGACTCCAAATTCCAAGCTGGAAAGGTGTAAGAATAAGGAATATTAGCACTGCGTGCTTTAACAATGGCATGTTTTATTTAGCATTTCTTGATGCCAAAGGATTTCACATTATTTCAGTAATTTTTACCGCTGGCCAATAAGGTAGACCATTTGTATGGCTTTTCTCAATGGGTTTTCAGGTGAAAAACTGGGTTTGGTGGGTTGCAGCAGGTTTAAAGCAATGTTCTTTGACTTTTAGAAAACTGAGGTCCATCTTTATTTTCAGCTTGCAAAATGGTAGTTCTTCACCTCTGTGTTTATCCCTTTCTGCTATCTGTCTTTCCTTTACTCTTCATCTGTGGTCACCTGCTCCCACAGGAGCCAGGAGTTGCAAAATGATTCAGACGATGGTTTGAAGATGGCGCACAACACCTGGCAGATTGTAAAGCGATTCATAGTCTCTGTTTTGTTCATGGCAAGAAGCTGTGGATAATTGTAGCTTCCTGGTTAGGTTCCCCACTTGTGCAGAGAGAAGTGGGGATGCGGGGAGGGGGGTGCTGTGCACCCATATGCATAGCCTGCTTTATTTAAGCCGGGGTCTTTGACTGTGGCCGGCTGATCAGTTTCTTAGCTTCTCGGGTGCTCGCACTGTCTCTCCCCACCCGGTTACCACGTGATTCTTCTCCCGTCTCACCCCTGAATCGCCATCAGATACCAGCAGAACAATACATCGGTGAGCCGGTGTGCCTGCTGCGCGATCACCCGCGATTCCTCCGCCTACGCCCTTGGGAAGGCCACGCCTCGGCAATTCAACGATTGCCCCAAGAAGCGCTTCAGTCAAGACATTTCCTTGTGCCTTCAAGTGGCAGGTCAGTGCTGCGGCCGCGGTGAGTTGGCTGGGGGTCCTGAACCTCAGCCCTGAGGGGCAAGTAGCCTGGCGGGGCCTCTGGTTGGCCATGCCCCCTCTGCCTGAACCGCCAGTCCTTTGGTGGTGCCTTTTCTGCACCACTCTGTGCAGGCGATCACAGCAAAAGGGGCCCTCACCTCAGAGCTGGTACTTGGAGGACGCCCCAGAGGTTGTTTGAGTGGATCGCAGCTGGGAGAGGTGCTCCGGCAGGCCCTGACTGTGGCCCTAAGCTGTGTAGGGCCTTCTAGGTGAAAACCAGCACCCTGGATTGGGGCTGGAAGCATACACAGAGTCAGTGCAAGCAGGCCAGAACCAGCCTCAAGTGTCTGACCCTACGGTTCCCTGTCGCTGACCTGGCTGCCTCATTCTGCGCCAGGTGCAGCTTCTGAACCTTCTTCAAAGGCAGCCCCAGGTAGAGGGTGTGGCAATAAACTCATTTAGAGATGAGCAGAGTGTAAGTTGCTTAAGCCAGGTAGAAGCATAGCTGGTCCACCAGCCAAAGCTGGTGGGAGGCACTCTGAGCCATGCCACGGATGGCTCAGGAAACATTCCCAAGCAACGAACGAGTTGCGGGGAGTGCAACCCCATCTGGAACAGGTTGAACACCTCAAGTCAGCCAAAGGAACCCCCTGCCAACATGTTGCTGACATGGGGACTGGGGTGTTGTTTATTCGTAGCCACATTAACAAACCATGGTTGGTTAGACACAACCCTCCTACAGTTTACAACCCAACCACAACCAACCAATTCTGTGTGTAGATTATGGTTAACCAACCATGGTTTGTAGGATGACTGTTGAGACAGCACAACCCACGTTTCAGCAAGAACCCGTGGTTCAGTGAAACCCGGACTCAACCTGCACTCAACCCTTGAACATGGATTGTCACAGGCTCTAAATCCAGTCTCTGCATCCGGCTTTGGGCCGATCTTTGTTCTTAGCCTAAGCTATTCTGGCCTGACCCAAACCAATCCATCTTGCAGGCATAGATTGCAATTATAAAATCAGATGCAGTGGCTGGAGGGGTGGAAGGGCTGTGTGTCTTGGTGGAAGGGCAGGATTTTAAATGCAGCAAATGCATATTTATCCTTGGAAAGACCCGCTTAGCACAACCGGCACTGCAGCCCCTTGCGGTGAGCATCTCCCTTTTTGCTCTAGATTGCCAGCAAGAGGTCCCGGATACAAGCATGATTCAGGCGTCTTTGTCCCAGGTCCTGGATAAGCAGTGCCGTTGCGGAGTGTCCCCTGCCTATTTCAAAGGTAAGAGGAGCTCATCATATGAATTTGAGGTGGAACCTATTCAGGACACATGATTTCAAAAACCTTTTAAAAAGAAAAATGTGGATGGAGAAAGCAGGTGGGGTCCACTCCAGGCTTTGCAGAACCCTTGCTCTTAGTTGGCCCGCCTCTTCTTTGCTGCTAAAACCATTCACAGCGTGAGGTGGCCGTGTCTCGTGGCACACCTCTCCCAGTATGAACCTGCTCTTATATTTCTAGCATAGTCTGAGTTCCTTCTCCACACACCTCCTCCAAGGCAGGGACAGAAAATGGCAACAAGGGGGAGGCTTTCTTGGTGGTGGCTCCCAGTTCTGGAACATGTGCCCCAGTGCACTCTAGGATTTGGGCGAACCCTTTGGAATCTGTCCCTCCGAAATCCACAGACTTCCTCCTGCAAAGTGAGCTGAGCTAACAGGAAGTCCACTCCTGGTTGCACAACCAGCAACCTTCACCAGCCGCCATTCTTGGTGGTCAACCTTCTTTCCTGCCTGCTGTCAGCAACAGCGGCAGCGCATGCAGAGAAAGAACCATGGCTGTGCTCACCAGAATTGGGATTCTGGGCGGCTGCAAAGCGATGCAGAGCTGCGAAGCCGAAATGAGGGAATCTGGTGGATTTTCCACATCGGATGGAGTCCTTGTAAGTCCCTAGTGCAGTCTCCTTAGTACCAGCTTTGTCATCTTTCCACACCAGGTTGTCTTTCTTCTACTCTCAGGCATTTCACAGCATCTAATATCATTCTTCATGGGTTCTGGAACTTGTACTGATGCTTGCTTGAAACTCTTCTATATTTTGGGCCAGAAATGCTTTTCATTCTGTTATAATATTGCATGTTTAAGATTTTAATACGAGATATCTTGCTTTGGGAGGCAGAGGAATGGAATAAATGAAGTACTCTTCCCGTAGTCCGTTGGCATCTCCCCTTCCTCAGGGGCCAGTCTGTACACCCATCCAGAAAGAGGACACACTCCATCATGGCATTCCTGTCACTGCTTGGATGTCCAGTGATTCCCCCTCTTATCCCTGGACTACAGGATGGCCTGAAGGAAGAGTGTTTCCACTTGTTTTTCCAAACCTTGAGTCTCCAGCAAGGTGCCTGCGAACACCTATTTCTAGCATCCCCTCCTCCTAATTTTAGCCTTTCTTCCTAAGATAAACAAACTGGGATCATACAAAGATGCTTTGTTGGATTCAAAGGAATGATGTTGTAGCTTGATGCTCAGACCTCACCTTTGCCTAGTAAAGTTATTTTCCTGTAGTTTCATCAGTTTTGTCTCCTTGAAAATGAATATCTCCTGAGTGGCCACGCTTCCCATGGCAGTTTTTTTGTAAGAGTATCCACAACAATCACTCAAAACTCGCAATCTGTCCACTAATCCAAAAAGACTGGGGATCCCCGGATTGGAGGCTAGTGCACCCCATTTTTAAAAGGGCCCCTTTATTTTTCCCCACATGTTTCTCAGGCAAAAGATGCAGCTGCTAAGGACCAAGGACAGCAGCCTTTTCTGATGGCCCTGAAATCATGAAATTCTCTCCCTGGGGGAAATGCCTCTCTCAATACTTTCCTATTCCAGAAATAATAGTTAGAAAATGTACATTTCTTTTAAAGTGCTTCTTCTAGGGGAGGTTGTGGTGGTGTGGGGGGGCAGGCCTGTTATTTCCCAAGTAGAAAACTTACTTAAAAGATTTCCTTCATTAATGTCTTCGTTATAAATCAGAAATCTACAAGAAGATATCCTGGTGCTATGCTGGATCCAAACATTCTCCATACCTCCATCACTGTTTGCAAATGTTCTTCCTAAGACTCTGTCCATATCTAATTTTCTCTGGCACCATATTCTCCTGTTTTAGCTGATTTCCATTGTTGTTCCTTTGATGCTTGCTTTTAGAAATATTCTGTTTAGAATTATTTATGTTCTTCATATTTGTGAGTGCAATCCAGTGTGGCCCTGACTTCTCCTACGGGTAATTAGACATGCCTTTAACTGTGACAATAGCGGTTAGAGTGCTGGACTGAGGAGATTTGGGTTCTGGTGCCCACTCAGCCATGGTGACTTTTGACCAGTCATGTGCTCTCAGCTTAACCTACTTCACAGGGTTGTTGTTGTAAGAAGCCACCTGGCATTCCTTGCAAGGGGAAAAATGTGAGATATTTGAGGGAGGGACCCCAAAACGCCAGGAATTACCTTCTGGAGGGGGGGGGTCCCTTGCAGCACAGGCGGCCCCTCCTAGGTGAGGGTTCTGGGCACCCACCTGCATCAGCCTCCCCAGCTGGGTTGTTGCGAGAGGCTGCATTCCGCTTCAGTGAGGATATTTTGGAGACTTTTAATGTGTTTGCCTCTTTCATGGTGGCCAATTTACACGAACAACGGGTGGCAGTGCAGCTTTCTTCAGCTGAGTGTTCCGCAGTTTTTGGCCGAAAACGTCATGTGCCCCACCCTCCCTCTTCACCCGATCTTACCCTGTGTGACGTTTGTTTTGTTTCCCTGAATGAAAAACAGCCTCAAAGGGAAACATTTTGCCGACATGGAACAGGTGAAGCAAAAAGCGGCAAAAGCACTAAATGGCTTCAGAATCGATGAGTTCAAAACCTGTTTTGAGCAGTGGAAAAAACAGGCTTGATAGGCGTATTGCATTAAACAGAGGACTTTGAAGGCGGCTCAAGGCTGAACATGTAAAAATAAATAAATAAATAAACCATACATTTTTATAAATAAATTCCTAGGGTTTTTTTGGTCCCCCCCACTGCGCTTAAATGTTATGTACTCACAGTAATAATTTAAGGGGTTAAACATGAAAACTGTATGGATTGTAGGATGAACTCATGACTTTTTTGTACTAAGGGGCTGCGATCTGAAGACCACTTTTCTCTTTCAGGTCCGGCTGTGTCCTGCAATGGCTCCACACTGGCATTCACTGCCCTCTTGGCAGCCGGGTCAGCGGAGCAGCTCCGCAGCCTGCTGCGGGCCTTTTCCTCCGCCGTGGAGAGCGAGGAGAGGATGAGCTTCGGAAGATGGAACAAGACAGTGGTGAAGGCTTGTGCCAGCGATGTGAACGGGACAGAAATGCCTCCAGGTATCTGTGGTGCAGGGGAACCGGTTACGGCGGGGGAGCATCCTTCAGGACTCTTCAGGGGAACAGGAGTCAGTGTGAGAGCCAGTGTGGCGTAGTGGTGAAGAGCGCGGAACTGGGACTCAGACGATCTGGGTTCTAGTCCCCGCTCAGCCACGGAGCCAACTGGGTGACTTTGGGCCAGTCACAGCCTCTCAGCCCAACCTACCTCACAGGGTTGTTGTTGTGGGGATAAGATGGAGGAGGAGAGATGATGTAAGCTGCCTTGAGCCCTTTGCAGGAAAAAGGCAGGATATAAATTGCAATATAAATAAGTGGGCCGATTTCCCAGCTCTGTCACGTGAATGGGGTGATCCCGAGGCCGCTGGATTTTCCTCTTGTCTGTGAGGAAGAAGCAAATGAGGCAAACATTCATGAGGCAGAGATTATTTTTATTTATTTATTTATTTATTTATTTATTTATTAAAACATTTTTATGCCGCCCCATTCGCCAAAGCCTCGGGGCGGCTTACAACAATAAATTAAAACATCATATATAACATTTTAAAATATATACATTAAAATAAAATACAAATATACAATATAAAATAAGCCGCCCTGGCCCGATAAAATTCAATAATATTATCATTTAAAATGCTGCTTAAATAAAAAGGTCTTCGCCTGGCGCCGAAAAACAAATATCGACGGCGCCAGGCGGACCTCTCTGGGGAGCGCATTCCATAACTTAGGCGCCACCGCTGATTAGCCCCACTGAGCCCACAACTCCGCCGAGCAGGCCTTGGCCTTGCTTCTTCCCCCGCTTGCATTCGCTGCCAATCTACCGGAGTTCTCCAGATGGGGTCGCAGCAAGGACTGGGGGCGGAGCAGCTATCGGAGGGAAGAGGGAAAGGGAATGTGGCCGTCTGGGGAGCTGCAGAGAGCCAGACTGGGACCCAGCAGGATCCCTGGCCAAGGCGCTGCCCTCCTGCCCTGTGTTTTCGCTCTGGAACGATGCCATTTTGCTCTGAAGGACTGACGTCGGAGCCGCCAGGGACAACCAGCACGCCTCCGGCTTCCCCGGTGGAGCTTCTCATCAATGAAGTGAACCCAGACAACCCGGGCTCGCGGGAGGACACAGAGTTCGTCGAGCTCTTCTACCCTGGGCCAGCCCCGTTCGCCATGCGAGGCCACTGGCTGGTGTTCTACAACGGCAAGAACAACTTGGCTTACAAGGTGGTGGACCTGTCGAACTACAGCACCGACAGCCGGGGCTATTTCCTGGTGGGCAGCGCGGGGGTGACGCCCAGGCCCTCCATCCTGCTGCCTGACAACCTCATCCAGAACGGGGCAGAAGCCGTGGCGCTGTATCGTGGCCTGGAAGGGGCCTACAAGGTGAACATGCCCCTGACTCCCATGGGGCTGGTGGACGCTGTGGTGTACAAGGCCCGGGGCTCAGAGAGCGCCAGCCGGCTGCTGGCCGTCCTCACCCCGGGCCAGGACGTCCTGTACGAGAACAACTCCCACAGCAGCGACGACGAGTCTCTCAGCCGATGCCTCGGCCTGAGGCCCAGGGACCAGGGCAGCTTCCAGGTGAGCAGCAGCTTGGCTTGGGCAGCTTCGGCCTCTGTCCTCACGCTCCGTCTCTGGCCACGCGACTGGCTTGCTGTGTGATCCTTCCTTTCCTCCGCAGAGTCCATACAGTTCTTCTCTCCCGCTTGTTTGTTGACATCATATTTCTAGCCTGCCTTTTTTCTTGCAAGAAACCTAAGGGGGCTTACAGAAGCCTGTTCTGTTTGTTTGTTTGTTTGTTGCATTTATACCCCACCTTCAGCCCAGCCCAGCCTAAAACCCTCTTTCTTCCCTGTTTGAACTTTACAACCACCCTATGGGGTAGGTTAGACTGAGAGGCAGCAGCTGGCCTGAAGTCACCCGGTGAGCTTCATGGTCAGAGTGGAAGTAGAACCTGGAGTTTCCCAGTCCTAGTTCAGCAATCTAACAGTTGTACCATACTGGCCTTCCTGCTTGCCCTGTGAGGTAGGTTAGGCTAGATTTCCTCCTGAGTTGTGCAGGGCCTTTGGGATTCGACCGGTATTCTTAAGCCAGCCTTCTCCAGATTGGTCCCTTCCAGGCTGGCTGGGCAGCCCCTCCAGCTGCATCTCAGCCAGTGTAGAAGGGCAGTCCCCCGGGGCCTTCCTGCCTGGGGAACTCTGGGCTGACAACTGCACAGCACTGGTGTGATCACGCTGGAGCCCAGCAGTAATTTCTGTTTTGCGGGGCAGAACCTGGAAGTCTCTTCCACGGAGAAGTTAGCAGGCAGATGGGGAAGTGAATCCAGGAAGGATATGAATAGCTTCAAGTCTTCCTATTTGTTTTCTAGAAATACAATACAGGGAAAAGGGAGTATAGAAGCTGCAGCAGCAAACAAGGGTCATTTTAAGAATTTAACAAGCAGCTCCTCATTTATGTACATTTGCAATAGACAAACATCTCCATCTAGCCTATACAGTTAGGTATAGCTCTCAACATCCCTTTAGAACAGATGATAATCACAAATGTTTGTATAAATCATATTTTCTTTAACCATTATTTAAATTGTTCACAGTAAGCCTTCCACCTTGGAGTAAATTCTTCAGCTAGTCTTCTGTTGACATAACTAGTTAGCCTCACCATTGCTGTATGCTCCACTAGCTTGTTTTATCAGCCTTCACCAGCTAAACAATCTTCAGTTTTCCACTTTGAGGCAATTATCACTGTTGTTGCTGTTATCATAGATTTCTATAATTCCGACTTAGCCTTTGGAATAATCTCTGGGGCAAAACTCAGTAACATGTTCCTGGCATGCACTGGAAAGTCAGTTTTGAGTGTTTTCTGCAGCTCAGCATGTATCTGCTTCCAGAATTGTTTGATTCTGTTGCGTGTCCACCACATAGGATAAAATGTTCCAGGATATGAATAGCTTCTGCAGGAGTCCTGCTGGCCACTTCTGCATCTGCTAAGAAGATGACATAAATTTGCATAAACGTTGCATATAAATGTTGTATTTAAAGAGACAGAGGATGATTTCAAAAGGATGCTGCTGGTATGTCTTGAAAGCCACTCAATAGAATGCGTATGACTTCTGAAGAGCCTATTTATTTATTACATTTTTATCCTGCCTGGTGGCTGAAACTCTCTGAAGGAGGCTGTCTTCATTGCTCTGAATAGGCTCATCCCAGCCAAAGTGCCACTGAGGAGTGTCCAGAGACTGGCACAAAAGGAACCCTCCTGGCCTTGGACAGCTGGTGTCTCTTTCCAGCCTTTGGAATGTTGTGGCCGTGTTTGTCAAGAAAGCAAAAATCATGTCCACAGAAGAATTGCAGAACTTTACTATTAATAATGGAGAAATCGGAACTGTGAAAGATTTTGGATACCTCGACTCAGTCATCGATTCAAGGGGAGACTGTGGCCAAGAAATCTGGGGAAGACAGTCTTGGAAGGGCAGCAATGAAAGGACTAGAAAAAACTCGTAAGTGTAAAGAACATTTAACTGGAGACCAAGGGCAGCCACACTGTTGTATTCCCAATCACAATCTATTCCCTGGACAGGGAGGTAAATTGTTATGTTCAAAACATGGTGCTGGGGAATTGCTTTGTGGATACCCTGAACCAACAGGAAGACAAAGAAGTGGGCCCTCCCTCAAGTCAAGCCAGAGTTTTTCTCGAAGCAAAAGTGAGGCTACCGTAGGTCAAAGACAACTTGACAGCACACAACAGCAACAAGCTGTGTTCACACCTGAACCTACCCCTGGAAGGGTCATTTCAAGGCCGGTGCGTTATCTTTAAACCAGGCTCTCTGACCAGACGACCCTTCAAATAGAAGATGCTTTTCAATGGATGATTGCCTCCTTACCAAGTTGGACCGCCTTAAAAGAGCGTACGAGAAATTATATATTGCTGCTGGGAGCATATAGAGCAGACTTTTAAGTATGGGACGGAATAGAAAGCTTTTAAATAAATAATAAATACGGCGTAGTTGACAGCTTAGTACAGGGAATCTCGGGGGTGGTAGATCGTGTCGGTGTCCGTGCTCGCGAGCCCTGCGCCCGCTACACCACCATTCCGGACTGGCTTGGTCCCTGCTCAGCAAGCATGCAGCCCTTGAGAGGTTAACCACCCCGAGGAGTGTGTCCCTTGGCAGAATGGGGCCCACCCCTGCCCCCAAGGTGGCCCCTTCCTCTGGCTCAGCCTTCGCAACCCATCTGTGGGCTCGTTCTGCTGGGAGGACAGCCGCCCGTTTTCTCTCGGTTCACTGAAATCAAGGAAATTTGCTCTAATTCTCATCCTCTAACTCATGAGCTTTGCAGCTTTGTGGCACATCCAGGTTCTTGCTCCAGTTGCCCTCAGACTCACAGGCTTTAAATGAGGCGTCGCTCTCCTCACTGGTTGTTGGGATCAACCTCTAGGAACCCTTGTACGAACCTGTATTTAAGTTGTGCCTGGAAATGTGGACAGTTCTTTTCTGCGCCAGGTGTTTGGCTACTACCCCTGATCAGGATACCTGTTTTAGCCCTCCTCCAACGTGGCAGATCTCTTCTGAAACAGGATCAAGCTCTGGATGACATTTGCTCATGCTATTTTCTACCTATGTACAGATGCTGTGTGGGAAATGATAATTATAATAGAAGTACAGTGCCTCTTACTGGAAGGCTGTGGCCAGGAGTCCTGTGTAGGAGCCTGCTCGTTCTGCCATGGTTCCTCATGGTTCTTTGTTTTTGAACTGGAATGGGACTGGGCAGCCCTTCAGACAGAAGATGGCTTCAGGTAGAGGGTGGTCCTCTGTAAAAGCGACACATGGACACCCTACCTTCCTTCAAGGGCTTTGAAAGAGAACTTATGGGGTGGGTTGGTGCATAGGTGTGTGCTTCTGCTAGGCTGGGCTTGGGAGCAAGGGATCCACTCCAGGCCTAGCAAGGCTGGCCCTCCTGTCAGGCAATGAGGGGCCCACTTCACGCAGTTGATTCCTGGGGTGATGAAAGGGCAGCGTGGTTTAGTGGTTAAGAGTGCGGGACCAGGATTAAGGCGATCTGGGTTTGCGTTCCCACTCAGCCACGGAGCCACGTGGGTGACTTAGGGCCAGTCAGACTCTCAGCCCAACCTACCTCACAGGGTTGTTGTGAGGATAAGATTGAGAGAAAGAAGAGGAGAACTACGTAAGTCACCTTGCATCCCTTGAAAGGAGAAAAGGCAAGATATAAATAGAAAATAACTGTAAAATATTTGCTTCCACATGTGTTACCAGGCACCTTGAGGGAGAGCTATTTTCTGCTCCCCTTTAGAGAGCAACATGTCTTGGGCCCGGCACAGTTGACTCATAAATAGGGAGATGATATTAGTGGGTTTGTTATTCTTCTGTTGAATAAAGACTTAAGTGAAGAGGACAGAAATCACGCACAGCTTGCCAAGAATGCTGGTGACATTAAGGATCGAATGTAGAGGAGGAGCCCTGCCCAAGCTGCCTCGGGTTCCTTGCAAAGAGGAAAAAAGCCAGGATATAAATGTAAGAGTCATAAATAATATCAAAATATTCTGCCTCTTTCAGAAAAGCTGCCAAGGAGATGACACACGATGCCCTTCCCTTGCCCTCGCCCTTCATGTCACAAGACTGGTGCCTGCTGCCAGGCGAAAGCTTTCAGAGGGAGGACTGCCCCCGGGAAAGGGAGTGCAGGGCTACCCTACCTTCTGCCTTCACAGCTTTGACTTGTACCCCCTCAGTTCCAGCCAGCACAGCTAATGGCTGGAGGAGATGGGAGTTGTAGTCCACAGCATGCGGAAAAGATCTGGCGTGGCGAAGTGGCCTCGTGCTGGCTCCCGCGTCAGCAGCTTCGTGGGCAGACAGAGGGGCTTTCCCATCACCGGATCCCTTTTAGCAGACGGCGCCAGGGACTCCGCCGGGATTCTCGGTGTGCCAAAGCTTGTCCCCTACCAGCGAGGTGATGGCAGTGCCCCGGGGATGAAATGGCTCCTGCTCTCTGCCTCTTCCAGCTAGAATCCTGATTCCAGCTCAGCCCCTTTCTGGTTGGACTTGGGCCTCGCATTCTGCAGCCAGCCCGCTGCGATTGGGTGTCCATTTCTGTGGCCAGAACCCTTCCTTTTCCCCAGATCCCTGGCCTACCAAAATTCCCACTCTTCACCCCTCCACCACACCCTTACCAAAGGAATTCTCAGAGCCCAAACACACATTCCCTTAAATTTGTTCCTGGCAGCTGTATCTTTCCCATTTTTACTTTAAAGTAGGTGATAAGGGCCTGATCTTGGTTGGGACTCCATCATGGGGCTGGGGGGTGGGGGCGGTTAAGATTTGGACAGGACCCCTTGCTCTTAAGGCAGAGTGAATAAAACAAAAATGCGGTAGTTAGAAATGGATTTAGCAACACAATGGCCGCTTTGGTCCTCAGTCCAGTCTGTGCTTCTGCTCTGCACACACACAGGGAGTCTGGAATTGAAAAGTGGCAGGCAGGGGAAGGGTTAAATGAGATGGGGCCTGATTTGCAAAGGAGAAGTGGTCATTTGGTTTTAGAATTCCGGATGCTGCTGTAAGCAGAACTTGTAGTTCTGCCCTTGGTGTAAAGTTATTCTCTTCCCTTGCTTGTGGCGCATAGATGTGTCTGAGGCTGTCCCGCAGCCATGTTTTTAAACCTGCTCAGTTCCATCTTTTATGGAGCAGGCAAATGCCTTTGCAGATATGTTTCCAGCTGCTTTTCGAGCAGGCAAATAAAAATGTCTCCTTTGTAGTCGGGCAGCCCTGGGTCGTGCTCTGCAAAGGGCAGTCTGCTGCTAGGACATCCTCCCTTTGAGTGCTGATGCCTGGGTTAGTGGCCGAGAACTCTGGGCCAAATGGGTTTAAGCAGCTGTGTCTTCATCTGGACTCCAGTGTGGGCAAAGGGCAACCAAGCTACATCTAGGAAGCCTCCTCCTGCCCGCCCCCCTCCAGCACACACATTAGCAGGAGCTCCCTGGGTTTGTCCCTTCTTGTCATCATGTTCGAGGGTTTCTCTTTCTGGCTTTTGAATGGGGATGGCAAGAAGGAGGGACAGAAGAAAGTCATCTTGCTCAAAGAAGCTGTCTTCCCCAAAACCTGCAACCAGTACCATTACCAGGACTGGCTCAATTGAACCTCCAGGTTTAGGGGCAGTGGATCTTAGAACCAGTTATTAAGGAACAAACACAGGAAGATGGTGTCTCTAGGCTTCCTGGAAGCATCCAATGGGCCACTGCAGGGAATGAAATGAAGGGCTAGACAGACTGTGATCTGCTGCAGTGGGGAACTGCTTGTGCTCTTCCTCAGTCAAGGTGGTTGTGAATGAAACCTCCATGTTGTTTATTTAATTTACTTATTTAAAACGTTTATAACCCATCCTTTGCAGAGCCTCAGGGCAGCTAGCGGTAGAATACCTCCAGTCACCAGCTGCTGAGGCTGCATGATGGGAAAGCCTATTGCTTTCAGGATCTTCTTGTGGCTCTCCTAGGCTGTAGAAACACTTTCTTTGGCTGTGCTCACCTGTTATAGTTACTGAGCCAAAGGACTGTGCAGGGCTTAACTTGGTCCCCAGGTACTTTTCTCCACTCCTGAATTCTGATGCATCCACACTAAACCTCCCTTGGGTAAAGCGTTTCTAAAATAAGAAGGTGAAGTGCTGGGAGAGTGAAATGTTGGCTGGTCTTTTTCTCCCTTTTCCAGATGACGGAAATAACACCTTTCTCCAGAAACGCTTGTCCGCCTCTCGGCTCGAATGCCACCGAAGAAGCGCCCTGGCAGCGTTCCGTGGCAATCAATGAGCTGGACCTGGCCAGCAGCAGCGTGGTGCACCGGTTCATCGAGCTGAAGGGGAAGCCCGGGGCCAGCCTGGAGGGCTACAGCCTGGTCTTCCTCGCGGAGCACAGTGCCACACCGTATGCGGACATCCAGCTGGAGGGCACGTTTGGGAGCAACGGCCTGTTTCTCCTCTTAGCAGAAGGCCAGCCCAAGCCCGACGAGGCCCACGGTACGTCTCCGCCTGCCAGGGATCTGCTCCGCTTTGCTTTGCAACCAAGCCGTCCAGCGGGGGGCCTTTCGATGCTTTTGCTGTAGCTTGGCCGCCGTTTTGTTGGGCTGCAGCATCCAGGCTGCAGGCCCAGGAAGTGAGTGGGGCTGATTTTCACACATGGAGGAGCCACGGCTCAGGGGAAGCCCCGGCTTCGATCCCTGAGTGCGCCATTTTAAGAAGATCCTGCGCTGATATCAGGACTCCTGGGTACCCATTTTATGGAGAAGACCCACATGTTGACCCTGCCTGCTTGTATTCTTGCTCTTACGCTGCTTCCCTTTCGGTCTCTCTCTCTCTCTCTCTCCTGCAGCATGAAATACTTCTGGTTCTGTCGGCCCTGTACCTGAGTGAGGCACTGTGAGTTGCACTGGCCAACTGAAGGAGGCCATCTTGCATGCAAAGGGGTGCCCAGTGAGCCTCTCCCAGTGTCCACCAGATGAGATCAGTAGCAGTGCATGTGTGTGTTTGCGTTTTTATACTCTTCACGAAAGATTGAGCCAAGAAAGATTGACCATTGCGGTTGCTCTCCATTTTGGGCTAATTTAGCTCTCCAGGTTCTTTCCTCATCAGCGGCTTAAGCCAATTGCTGGCTGAGGTCAGCTCCCATAAATGTCTACACGGGGCATTCATGGTGTCTTAGGATCCCTCACTTACAAAAGTTTACATGGCCCTTTCATTCTCCGTAGTCGCCTGATTTTTCTAGCCATTTCTGTGGCTTTTGTGTAGAGCAAGGAAAGTCTGGTATTTCCTGGATGGAGTCATTAGAAAGGCAGAAAAGAAACTTCCCCCCAGAGGACTCCCCTGTCTCAAGTGAAGTGCGCTCTAAAGAAAACAGAAGTAGCAGCATTAGTAAAGCACTGGGATGGATGTTGCATGTAGAGAAACTTCAAAGCGGGACATCTTCTGTTCGGAACGGACACTTCTCTCCAGTCTGCGTCACTTTTTGCATTCTTTTCCCCATAACTCTCTTCCATTTCCACACGAATCTGCGAATTCTTTGAAGAAATCATCTCAAAATAGGTTTTTAATGTGCATTGTGCCTTTAAAAGCATATTTGGATACCCTTACGCTGCTAAGAACCACATTGCAATGTTTGAAGAAGTGTGAAATCTTTTGGATAGCTAAGTTCTGATCTGCGCATTCCTCCAAGATGAGGACATTTTGTATATAGATAAGCAAAGAACAAAATCTTGACGCATCCCTTGGGCTATGACACAACCATTTGTGGTAGGTCTCAAATTAGAAGAACAAATAACATATAGCTTCTTCGATCTAAGTACTGTGCAAAACTAAAATGGCAAGTCTCATAAAATTCTCCGGAGCTGCCATATTTATGCTATTACACAGAGCTCTACTTGACCCATCTTCCAGAATTGAAAAACCAGTTTTACAGAGCTGGAACGGCAACAGAAATGGTTAGTTGGAAATAGTTAATGAGTGGAAGCCCTGTAGCAATGAAGGAAAGCTGAAAGGCGTTTATTTTTTCTGCTCATGGGGGCATAATGTTTTGAACAGATTTGTGGGCCAGGTGTATTGTTTAATATGACTCAGAATTCTGCACGAGCAAGCAGGTGGGAAGGAGACGAACCGCCAGTCACACCATTCCTGCGCCCATTTCTGTCTTCTCTGTGCTGCTCTCAAGATTTCCGGGCTGACCTCAGTGCTCGGCACGTCCCTTCCTCCACGGCCAGCACGGTGCCACAGGCTCCTGGTGTCTTAAGAGGCTAGAAACCGGTGTGGTCTTATTTAGAGTTGAGAGGGCGACGAATTTCTCAAAGCATGAGGTCACTCGAGCGAGTAAATTGGCCCAAACCAGTGGATGAATTGCTTTTCTCCATGGCTCAGCTTGAATTACTGTTCAACTGCATGTTCTATCCAGAAAGAATGAGAGGAAAAGGAGAATGGAACCTGGTCTCCCCCACCCCTTCCTTATTGTATCCCTTCTGCATTTCCAGAGCAAACGGTGATCCCTTCGTGGAGCAATCCCCACCCTCAGCAGGGGATCTGGAGTGTTGAGCTGTTTGGCCCTGGAAGGCCATCCCAGAGCAATGTCATGGATGCTGTGCAGGCCCTCGAGGATGCCGTGGTCTACACGTGGGAGCCTGCCGTGAGCACAAACCCGCCTTTCCCTGGGCCGATTCACTTTGTATCCCGGAAAGGGGAAAAGTGAGTTACTAGCATTCATTCTGTTTACGCTGCATTTATCCCCCACTTTTCTTCCTCTTTCAAGGATCCCAGGACAGCTCACAAAGTTCCCCTCCCCTCCCTTTATCCTCGCAACAACAACCCCATGAGGTAGCTTGGACTGAGCAGTGGTCACTGGCCCAAATTAGAAACATAGAAACAGAGCGAGTCAGAAGGGGTCTCCCGGGCCATCTAGTCTGACCCCCAGCTCCAGCCGGCTCCACTCACGACATGCCCACCATGTGGACGTCCAGCCTCTCCTTGAACACCCGCACCGATGGGGCCTCAACGACCTCTCGTGGAAGCCCATTCCACACCCTCGGGGTCCTGACTGTCAGGAGGTGCTTCCTGGCCTCCAAATTGAACCTTGGTGCCCTGAGCTTTGCTCCATTGCAGCGTGTTCTGCCCTCCTCTGCAGGGGAGAACAGGTCTCTACCCATCTCTGTTTGACACCTCCTCAGATGTCACCAACAGATCCCCCCGAGTCTCCTCTTCTCCAGGCTGAAGAGACTCAGTTCCCTCAGTCTGGCCTCATACGGCATCCCCTGCAAACCAGCCACTAACCTTGTGGCCCTGCGCTGCACTGACTCTAACCTGGCTATATCCTTCCTGCGATGAGGGGCCCAGAACTGAGCACAGTACTCCAGTTGCGGGCGCACCAGAGTTGTGTAGAGTGGCAGTAATACCTCTCGATCTAGAAGCCACACTTCTGGCAATGCGACCCAGTGTGAGTGTCATGGCTGAGTGGGAAGGAAAACCAGGGCCCATGTCCCAGTCCGGTAGGCTAACCAGTGTGGCACACCGGTGCTCACTCTAGTGACCTCTCAATATTTGGTAGTTCTTCATCTATATATTACCACATTTCGAGCTCATATTTTCCTCCAGCGATGTCACACCACCAGCAGGCGGGGCGATTGCACCTGCGCGGCTGAGAGTCTTGAGTGTTTCCTTTCCTTCTCCCCTGCCCCTTCCTTTTCCTCGTACGTTGTGCCTTTTTTGGTTGTCAGCTCGTGGGGCACAGGCGGCCTTGCTTCACTGCTTCCACATCGGCTGCTCCATTTATTGGCTCCAGAGTGGGGCCAAAATACTTCCAAGAGGTATGTGAGGTAAGAGAGAGATTGTGTAAGTTTACTTCACACCTGAGCACAGCTTTGAATCCTGCAGTCCTTGTCCCAAATCACAGGGCAGCCATCCCCAACTTGGTGGCCTCCGGTTGTGTAGATCGCAACTCCCAGCGTTCCCCACTAGCAGAGCCATTTTCTGTCCCGCTCTAGCATGGAATTCCAGCTTGGAATTTCATCGCCTTCCGGAAACATCCTGGCCCTCTGTGCTTTGATAGCCCTTTAAATAGGGAAAACCAAATGGAGTTGCTACACCGTCCTTCTGGGTGAGCAGGGAGAATTACAGAAATGGGGCTCCCAGAGATCTTTTGGCCAAGGTATGTGACCTTGAAGACACGTGGCCAGCACTGGATATTTTGCTGCCTAAGGTGAGAAACAAGATGGTGCAGCTTCCCATCTCTTACAGAAAAGCCAACTAGAAAGGCATTGGACCCTTTCTTTGGCACTGGAGATAGGAGAGCATCTTCCACAACACCTGAAGGGCAATGAGGTACATCAGGGAGCTCAGGTGGACATATGCAGATCTCACCTCCAACCTCTGACTGCTGCCTTCCAGCATCTGCTGTTTGCTATCTAATGAAGGCGTCACTTGTATTATTTATTTAAAACATTTTTATGCCGCCCCCATCGCAACAAAGCCTCGGGGCGGCTCACAACAGAAACAAAATACATAAATAAATAACAATAAAACAATAAACAAATTATTTAAAAACCTCCAGTGCATCTCGGCTAAAAATTTAAAATCCTATAAATACAAATAATTTAACAATTAAAATAAGTTTTAAATAAAAAGGTCTTAGCCTGGCGCTGAAAAACTAATAATGACGGTACCAGGTGGACCTCTCTGGGGAGTGCATTCCATAGATGGGGCGCCACCGCAGAGAAAGCCCTCCTCCGGGTACTCGCCCTCCTAATATCATTCACAGAGGGTTCCCGGAGAAGGGCATCTGTTGCTGATCTCAAGGGGCGGGAGGGCATATATGGACGCAAGTGTTCCTTTAGATACCCAGGTCCCAAGCCCTTGAGGGCTTTATAGGTCATAACCAACACCTTGCATTGGGCCCGGACTTCAATCGGGAGCCAGTGGAGCTAACGGTGAACTGGGGTTATATGAGAACAACGCCCAGTCCCCGTCAGCAGCCTGGCAGCTCTATTCTGCACCAACTGATGTATCTGGACCGTTTTCAAGGGTAGCCTCACATAGAGCGCATTACAGAAATCGGGTCCCTCACCCCCATTGACAAGTGCAGGCGTGGGAGGATAGGTGTTCTGCTGTGGGGCCGGCCGGCTGATCCCTTCCCTCCCCTTCCCAGCCAGCCTCAGAACACTATTTACTTCCTGTAAAACAGCAAGCTCAGGGCTGATTGGGATGTTTGTTTGCTTCGCAGGCCGGTGTCCTTGAGCCGCTGTCCTTCCTGCACGGAAACCTTTGCGCTCTCTGACCCCACGCCTGGCTTGGAGAACCGCTGCCCCCAGAAGTCTCTTTCCCTGGACCTTGAAATATGCCTGCTAACCCCCAGTAAGAGAAATGGACTTCTTTTTAAGGTTTAGAACGGTGTCAGTCCCCCAGAGGTGCTACAGGATGGTAACACTTCTGTGGGAAATGTTCCCTGGCTTGATTTTTCTTGTGGAAGAGCTTCCGTTTTGTAAATTCATCAGCAATGATAAGGATATGACTGCGAATACAATACTGTGCATGGCTGAGAGTTTTCACGTTTTAATTCATCAAAGCTGAATCCGAGCAACTATGTGAGACCGGGAATGCACTATGCCATTAATGTGTAAGGGATGCTGGGGAATGAAGGCGTCAAGAGGTTGGAGCAGCCCCGTGAGGGTCCTTCACTTTAGGGGAGGGCATGACGGAGGCCTGGCACATTAGCATGGTCAGAGGAAGTGGGGAGGGAGGGGTTGTTCCCCCTCTCCTGCAGCACTAGGACCCCAGGTCCAAGAAGTGGACTGGTGGGAGATCCAGGGCAGAGAAATACAAGCACGTCTGCCCACCACGCACAGCCAATCTTACGGGATTCATAAAAATGAGAGTGAGGGTCACCAGTTTGGATGGTGTGAAACGGGTGCAGAGGAATTCATGGAGGAGGTGGTTCTCAGTGGAGATCAGCGGCTGCTAGGTTCTGGTGGCTCCAGACCTGCTTTGATATCAGGGAAAGTATGTCTTTGTGCACTGCTTGCTGGGGAGCATGGGTGGAGGGTGCTGCCACCTACCTGACCTGTGCGTCTGTTCTTCTTGTGCACCTGGGTGGCCGCTGCGGGTGCAGCTTGCTGGATTGGCTTGGGTTTCATGATCGCCGTGTGTTGGCAGGAGATGTGCCACTGGCACAGCGGTCAGGTGCTTTAGCAGCATGCGTCGTCTCTAACGCTTTGTTCTCCCCCCACCAGACTGTTCCTTGTGGCCTTGGAGCTCCCGGGCACTGGCTTACCTCCAGCGAGAGTTGGCAACCTATGCGGAAGAGACCTGCTCGTGTGGCTTCTCTCTGTGCCATCTCCAAGGTCTCCTTCAAATGCACTGTGCTTTCTTCAAAGAGCAGAGGTGGTCTGGCGGAGGCTGAATGGCAGCCCCGCAGCTGGGCCCACGTGGCATAATCCGAACGTCCACGTTATGTGTGGATCCTGGCCAGCATGCCAGTTCGAGCAGCTTTCGTCTGCAGGCCCTTTGTAAAGGAAGGGGTCTTCATTGCCACCCCTAATGACTTAGCCTCACAACAGGGACGGCGTAGTGCTGCTGGGAGAATTCATTCTTGTCCGTCCTGAGCCCCCGGGTGGGTTGTAGTGAAGTTTAGACAGAGCAGGGGATTTTTTTTGGGGGGGGTCCTTGGTGTCTTTGCCACTGAAAGTGTATTGCTCATGCATCCCTTCGAGCGCTACACCTGTGATACTGGAGGCCAGGCAAAAACCTTTCTCCATCTATTTTAGGATGGCTTTATTAATTTTAAAGGGTTTAATAGATTACTAAATGGTTGTCCTCTCGCCGGTACATGATTTATAATGGTCATTGTTAAATTTTAATAGTGTTATCTATATTTTTAATGGATGAATTCTATTGATTTATCCATTTCTATATTTGTAATTTTAAGATTGTTGTATTTTTGGTTCCTTTGCTGTACACCACCTAGAGGGCAGCATATAAATATAAAAAACGAATAAATGAAGAGGAGCAAAGCCCCAAGGGGTGCTTATGCTGCGGCAAGTCTGCATTACCAGCACGTTACAGCTGCTGCTTCCCGTCCATTCCTGTACACCTGAACGTTAAGGCAGAAGTGGATAATGAATGATCCTGCAGGTGCTCTTGTACTCCAGGTCCTATCAACCCCAACTAACATGGCCAGGGGTCGAGAATGATAGGGAGATGTGGGCCAACAACATCTGCCGAGCCATAGTTTTCACTTTATTCATTATATTTATTTCCCACCTTTTTTGCTACAAAGAACCCAAGGGGGTTCTACCCCTTCTCTCCATAATCCTTCTCCTTCCCAGTTTATCCTCACAACAATACTGTGAGGTAGGCTAGGCTGAAGTCGATAACTGGATCCCAGTCCCCCAGTGAACTTCATGGCTGAGCAGGGACTAGAACCTGGATTCCTGGAGTCCCAGTCCAAAACTCTAACCATTTTACAGTGCTCCCCTTACGTAGGAGCAAGTGCCGCTGAGCATCATGGGGCCCTTCAGTGCATGAACATGCCCAGGGAATTGTAACCCCCAGATAATTGTTTGGGGCAGGGTTGCTCTGGGAGAGGCACAGGCACTTGCCAGAGGGATAAAAGAAGCTCTTATTACCATGGATAATTTGGGGCTCTCTAACTTTTGTGTTACCTTTTCCCATTCTAAAAGATCCAAATGCCTTTCCCATGGCTTAGAGTCCGGAAATAAGGACTTTAAGTCAAAATATGCTTGCCTTTTTGCTATTTTGGCCCCATCCTGTGTCTCCTTCTCCTCCTCCACATGTTTCAGACCCTGCTCCCCACTGGACTGAAGCCTCCAAGAGTTCCTGCAATACGGAATTGGGGCTCTGCAGCCACCCGTCAGGGATGCTGCCGTTCCTCCTGGACTAGTGAGCCAGCACAGAGGGCCTCTCCTTTCCTTCCAGCTTAACCAATAAGCAGATATTCCCCACTGCTGAAACACTTCCCCGTCCAGAACCTCAAACGGCAGGGCAGAGGCATAAAACTGGAGCACTGGGAGACACACAGTTTGCAAGTGACTCGATGGGGGAAGCAGAAAAGAGTTTGAACCACACCAGACAACTCCTCTCTCCCTTTCCGTTTTTGTCTTTCTTCAGGGCTTAATTTTACCTGTGTCAATTCCACTCTGAAACTCTCTGGCCAGGTGTGGCCTCGGTCGCCTGAGCATAAGCAGTTGCTTGTCCGGTGGCAATCTGCCTTCTCTGTGAGTCCTCGCCTATTTTCTGTGGATGGGAGACCTCTGAAAGCGGCCGCCTGCTCACCTCCTGGCATAACAGCACTGAGTTCTGGAGGTGAGCTGCTGGGGGGATGATCGGAATGGCTGAGCACTGGATGGGAGAACAGGAGAAGATCGGATTCCTTAAGTTTGGATGCTATAGCCGGGGGGAGGGACTCTTTCTCCTCGATTGTGTAGTAAGCATTGCTGTGCATTCATGGGGTTTTCTGAGCAAGCACACTGCCTGTCATCTGAAGCAAGCCTTGGCACACGAGATGTTCAGCATCGGCTTTCCAGAGGAACAAGTTTCTAGATCTCATTAGCACCAAAAAAACTCTGAAACCCTGGGCAGTATCTGGAAGCGTATGAAGTAACCAAGGGCCAGGATGCAGGTTTCCTTGCATTCAGTGTTTGGACCATGCAAGTACAGAAGTGATACTTGGCAGAATTAGGGATTCTGGGAATTGCATAGGATACGCTTTAAATGCCTCCTTTCGCATTCATTTATTTATACACAGCTTTTAGGAAGAAATTCAGAGTAGTGATAGGCTGGGTTATTTGATACTATGTGATCCTAAAAATTGCAGTTAAGAAATGTTGATAACACTCTTTCTCATAGCTGGGGAAAAGCACAAGAAAATCTGAACTCTAATGCTTATGACACAATGAATAAGAAACAATTAGGGAGGAAACATTCCTGATTGCAAACTTGCTTTTGGAGAAATGGAGAGTGTTTCCAGTGCATTGCAAGAACAAGTTTAGAATATTAATTTACTAATAAAAGGACCACATTTTGCACGAGTTGGAATAAATCCTCAGTTTGATACGGCAAAGCCTCCAGGCAGCCGTTCACAGCTCACTTTGCCTGGGCTCCTTGTGCTGGTTTTGCACGGTGGCCCCTAGTGGCCAAAGGTATCACTGCAGGCTTCAGCTTCATGCATGTATTAAAATGAATTAAAATTAATAGGAGCATTTTAAAAACAAAGTAACCTCAAGATGCACAACTCCAGGGCCCTCTTAGTATGCATGAGAAGTTTCAGTTGCTGAGGTCTTAGGGCTCTGGTGCAGACAACCTGTTTTATTATACAGATGTGTTTTCTCCTGCGTTCCTCATATTTTAATTGAAGGGAGCAAGGCCGGGTTTCAGGAAAGCACCACTGGCTCCTAGGAAGCTACCTCAACTCATGTGGGGGGGGGTGTTCATTCCCACTGCTGCCCCCAAAACAGCCTGCCCATCTTCCCCAGACTGGGGGGAGTGATTCTGATAGTCACAAATCTGTCAGATTTGTGCAGAAGTGCAGAAAGCTTACCAAGGCAGACCAGTTTTTAAAAATTCCCTTTCTCTCCTTCCTTTCCCTTTGTTGTTAGCTTCATTTCCAGCTTGGCAGATTGCTCTCATCATCACTGGATCCATCCTGCTTTTGCTGCTGTTACCCGTTGCAGGTTTTTACTGGATCAGAAGGTAAGAAACGACAGCAGTTTTGCTGCTAGGTTTGTATTGTGACCAGATAGTGAGCCTACGAAAAAGGTTCATTTTGTCCTTTTCTAGGATCAACCTGGTTCACAAGTTTGGCAGTCCAGGTCTGGATGTTTCTGAACCTACCGTATGATTCACGGATTTAACAAAAAAACCCTGGGGTCCGGGGGTGGGCAGCATGGGTGCATTTAAAAAATATGCATGAAAAGATGTTTGCTTTTGAAAAACACGGTAATCAATCGGGAAAGGCTGCGTTTTGCAAAGGTACATAGCGGATGCAGTGCTGGCCCTTCCCAAAGGCGGGGGGTGAAGCTTTTGCCTCCAGTGGCAGATGGATCATGCTGCTTCCACCAGCCCTCTGCCTCCTGGGGGCTCCAAGGAGCTCTGCTGGTCACCCTTCAGATGGGACATTCTCCATGGGGGGGCAGCAGGATTGGCGGGGCTCACCGGCACCCACTCCCTGCTGTGCCCAAGGCAAACTGGAAGGCAGGACAGGGGCTCTCGGGAAAGCCATGCAGGGGCCGTTCCAGGCTTGTCCTCCCAGCACATGGCTTTCCAGAGGGGTGGAAGGGCCAGGACAGGGCCAGTGGCTGGGACAAGCAGAACACCAGGAGCAGGGTGCCTGTGCATGGTGGGCTGCACAACCAGCTGGGGACCCAAGGCAAGCACAAGTTACCAGACCAGAGGAGATGTTCAGGTAGAGCAAGGTGGGAACAAGCCAGGGTCAAGCAGGAGCAACTGGAGCGGAGCTGGTGCAAGGCAGGAGCAACTGGAGCAGGGCTCAGAGATGCGGGGCCAGAGCCCGAGGTATCGCCCAGGTGACCTGCACTGCTGTGGCGAAGAACAGCAGTGCCGGGAAGCCTTCAGCGCGGGTCTCCAGGGCCTCCAGCTGCTCAGCATCCTCGCTCCTCAGCTGCTTCCTGCAAGCGCCTCCAAGGGTGTTCCTGGTTCCTCAGGCACTTGCAGGGTCCCTCAGGCCCTGATCCTGACAGGCGTGAGGCTGTTCTCTTCAGTTGCAAACTTGTGCCCGACTCTTCACAACCCCATGGACAACATTCCTCCAGGTTTCCCTGTCCTCCACCATCCCCGGAGTCCACTTAAGCTCAGGCCGGCTGCTTCCGTGACTCCATCCAGCCACCTCATCCTCTGCCATCCCCTCCTTCTTTTGCCTTCAATCGTTCTCAGCATCAGGCTCTTCTCCAGGGAGTCCTTCCTTCTCATTAGGTGGCCCAAGTATTTGAGTTCCATCTTTAGTATCTGGCCTTCTGAAGAGCAGTCAGGGTTGATCTCCTCTAGCGCTGACCGGTTTGATCGCCTTGCTGTCCAAGGGACTCTCAGGAGTCTTCTCCAACACAGCATGGTAAAAAGAAAGGGTTGGGGGCACAACAGAATGAAGAGAAAGGGGATGGGCAAGTGTGAGAGGTTTGGGGGCCTCCTTCCTATGGGTTCCAAAATGTGGGGGATGGAGTTAAGAACAAAAAGTAAAACCAGGATGGCATCTGGTGATGTGACTGAGTGCCAAAAGTGTCTCCTCCTCCAAATGCACCATCAGAGGAGACCTGCTGGGCAGCCTGCGAGTTCCCAGAGGTTCTTGGGCTCTGGCTCACATCAGTCCCAGCATGCATGGCCAGCAGTGGAGGATACCAAAACTTCTGGAAGGACTCAGGGTCTTTGGTCCAAGGGTCGAAAAACTTGCGATTTCTTGATCCTGACTGGTTTACCTAAAGATCTTTGTCAGAGGTGCTGTAGAAGAAAACACACCAGCCTGTGTGGTTGGGGGAAACACACGGGACCTTCCTTGCCTTGTTCCCTCGTGCAGGTCAAGCTCTCTGGTTTGCCTAGTGACCCAAGTAGCGGGTGGCTTCCTGCGTCACCCGGAGAGGAGATGCATGGCTTCAGAACCACCTGGGACCTTACTGCAAGCCATGGGTTCTGGGCAACGCACCTTGCCGAGTCCAAATGACACTGGAAGCCACACAGCATGAGGGTGACCAGGCAGATCGCATGGCGCATCTCATGCACACCGGGAGCAGGAAAAGGGCGCTGCTGGGGCTCCTCTGCCTCCTTCGCCACCGCCTCCTTCGTGCCCGGCTTGCCAAAGCGGCGTCGCGGGGTTGCAGCGCAGCCTCTCCTGCAGTGCCCCACGAAGATGCCGAGCAGCAGTCTCATTCGCTCAGACAACGGCAAAAGGTGGCTTTTGCTTACTGGTTTTGCTGTTTTCCAGGCGACCTCAGTATTACACCAACATCGAGCTGAACGACCGCTACGAGATTATGGCAGACATCTGAGGCGGTGGGAACGATTGCCTGGAAGAGGGCTGTTTCTGGAGCTGATCAGGAACAGCGAGTCCACCCCAAAAGAACTGCACAGCATTTGCACAGATGAATCCGGAATGCAGCGCGGCACCTTTACAAAGCCCGAGGGCTATTTAGGGTGTCCAGACATGGCTGTACCAGAAGGCAGATTGGGGTGGGTGGGTTGGGCGGCAGGCTTGACTGGCCGTGTGGAGGGACCCTCTGGACCACCAGTGTGTTTTGAGTGGCCTGCTCTTCCTGCCCAGGATAGCCAGCTGCCTCAGGAACAGAGGCTGAACGCTTCTCCATCACCAGGCTCAGAGGAAGGGTTGGCAGCCCATTCCCGCGTCTTCTGCAGCTGGGATGAAGGGGTGTGTCTGGGAGCTGCCATCTTGCACCTGCTTCGCGTGCACAAGTTGCTGGGTTGATTCCCATCCTCACCAGGTAGGGCTAGAAAGGAATGCCTGCAGAGCAGCTGCCCGTGAGAGTCGACTGGACTGGGCTGGATGGACCCACAGTCTGACTCGGGTGGCAGCAGCTGCCTTGCCCTCATCTCGGGCAGCCCCGGTTTTGCATGCTGAGAGTCCTGGGTTCCATCCTTTCTGTTGTTACTTAGAGCCTCTGGCCTGGGGACCAAATCCCGCCCGTCCTCTACAGATCTCTGCGGCTGCTAGACAGTGATGTCCCCTGCCCCTATTCCCTAATTCTGTTCCTAAGCAGGATCCCTTGACAGCTCTCCTGCTTTTGTCTCTTCTCTTCCCCATTCGAAAAGGCTGAAATGCCTCTCCTGGGGCTTAGTGACTGGCAGGAGGAGCATTCGGCTAAAATACGGTGACCGTTTTGCCATTCTGGCCACACAACCTTCACCTTTGACCCCAGCCCAGTTTGTTGCTGCCCCCCAAGAGCTTCCCCTACCTGGAAATCGGCTCCAAGGCTGAAAGAAGTCCAGCATCCCTAGTTTAGAAGGAAGAGGGAGTAGAAGATGAGGAGGGTTCCTCTTTCCAGAGACCCTGGAGAACTTACGCCTTTGAAACATGATATTGGGCGCGATGGGAAGCAATGTGATTTGGCGCACGGCGGTCCCTTCCATCCCCTCCCACAGGCCCCACACCTGAGCCAAAGGTGCAGGGCATCCCGGTCTAGCATCTCATTCTTCCCCAGATTTAATCTAAAGATGAGTTTGGGCACTTGTGTGATACCCAGCAAGAAATGTACACCGGGGGGGGGGGTGTCCAACTTTAGCTCTTCCTTCTGAAGTGGGGGACTTTATTTCTTGCCTGCCTTGCATCAAAGTTTTCTGCTGGTAGTTGCTTTTTAAATTCTGTTTCGGGCCCAGGGGCCTTACGGGGGTCCTAATGCTAATTTGGGGGTTCCTGGAAGTTCATACCCATTTTCCCTGGCTGCTAGCAGTTTGCTGATCTCCCGGCTTATGCATTTTTCTCCCCAATCCAAGGGCTTCTATGAGGGTTTAACTCGCTGCTCTCCTGAGGCTTGCAGGAGGGAAAATGCGGGGTGGTTATTTCTCTGCCTTCCTCTGTATTCTGTTAATCCAGTGGCACTGTGGTCATCTGCTCTAACTGCAGTATGGCAGTTCTGCAAGTTTTGCGGAGGATTTGTTCCAGTTTGAAATTGAAATACCAGACTTTTCTCACCTTTGAAAGAAAGAGAGAGAGAGAATGACTGGAAAGCACAGAAAGGGCTCTGGAGGATGATACTATCATGGAAAGGGCTTGCAAATGCCCATGAGTATACAATTAATACTTGATGCAGGGGAGCCCTTAAAGGTTGAGGCCTTAAAGGCTTCTTCTAAGAAGTCGTTGCTAGCAGTAGGAGCTCTAAGCTAAAATATGCTACTGTTTTTGGAATGTTTGGTTCTGCCCACTCTTGGAATGTACCCCCAGCAGCTGTTTCAAAACAGGAAGTTCCCCGTTGCCTCTGATAAAACTGTGGTTTGCTGCCAGAGTTCAATGGCAAACAACTACAGAGCCTCCGAAAAGCCATAGTTAGCTCTGCAGCTCTTTGTTGCTGAATCTCTGAGGGTAAACCAGCGATTTCCTTTGCCTGCAGTGTAGGAAGGCATCTTGCAGGGGGTGGAAAATTTCCAGGCACCTCTGCAGTTTTCTGTTCCTGAAATAAAGGGTGCTTCTAGAACTCGTACTGGGCTAATACTGTGCAGCGTATCCTTTGAGGGGAGGAAGAGAAGGCGTGAGGGCACCAGCTCCACTGGAGAGCTTTCCTAGGGCTGGGGGACGAAGCAGTGGATCCACTGCTGGGGGGGACTGGCGTGCAACGGGCCCTGCTGTGGTCACTAGCCATGTAGAGGTCAGTGGAAGGATGTGCTAACTGGGGGCTTCTCAAGAGTAAGGAAGGGGAGAGGCTGAAATAGGGGTGCAGAACCCCACAAGGCCAGGAGGGTTGATGCTCGCTTTTCTTGTCCTCTCCGAGTGTTCGGTGGTTTCCCCAGTTCCCAGTCTAAAGGGTCGTTACTGCCAGTGAGACCTGCTTCGAGGAATGCCAATTCAGTTTCTCAGTAATCAGGGAGGCCGGACCTGCTCTTTTGATCCCATCCTACTGGTGACTGGAGAGTTTGCCTTCATCCCGCTTCGTTCCGGTTGTAAGGATCTCCATGTCCCAACCCCTTGTGAAGTTGGTGAGGCTTAGAGCATATGCCGAGTGCAACTTCACAGTGGTTTTGGCAGCCACGTGGCCCTGGCGTCCAGGTCTTCGTGCTCCGAGCTCAGCACTCTGCCCCCAACCCAACACTAGTCCCTGTGTAATGCCCAAGACTATACAGCCACCCTTCCTGACCACCAGCCAGGTGGGGTTGCTAGGAGTTGGAATGCTACAGTTTTGAAGGGTGGGAACTTCCCTAGCCCTGCTAGAGATATTTTTCTACCTCTTCCCAACAGAGCAGCAAAGTCCGTTGCCATTTCCTTTCCAACATTTTAAATTTGGGGCCTGCTTCATAGACCGTTTACACATGATGTCGGGTGACAATTGACAATGGCTAGACTCATTTTACTATGTTATCAAGCGTGCTGATCTTACTGCCCTGTACAACCAACACTTTTAAGAAGGATGCTGCGGCTTGCCCTGCTGAAGTCAGATAGCATTTTATTTGTTTTTTATAATTACACTTCTATTCTGGCTCCCCCCACGCCTTGCAAGGATCCCAAGGCAGGATCCCTGGTGGTGGTCCTCTCCATTTCATCCTCACAACAACCCTGTGAGGTAGGTTAAGCTGAGCCTCTGTGACTGGCCCAGAGTCACCCAGTGAGCTCCATGGCTGAGTGGGAACTAGTGCCTAGATCTTTCAAGTCCTAAGCCAACACTCTAACCACTAGGACACACTGCCACCTTCAGGTAAAATGGGAGGTGACATCCCTTTTCATATTTTGGAGGAGGTAAGGCAGACAATCTGTGCTTTGCTGGGCACAGAATGGGGGGGTGCAGCAGATGCGGCACACCAGCCAAGGCACATCTCCACCCACCTTATGGGCAAAGCCCCCTTGGCCTCTAGCTATGGACTCCCAAAACTTCCCAGCTGTCATCCCTCATCAACAGCAACTGTAAATACTTTCTTTGGGCATGGTTTGCATGAAGCCCTTCAAGGCTTGGGGCCGCACCCAAACCTACGGCCTGCATGCTCTTTCTCCCACTACCGGGGCTGGAGGCGAACACGGTCGGGGTCCCGCATCCAGATGCTCCAGCCTGATGGAGGTTCGTGGGGGAGCGAGCCCTGCCGGAGCAGAAGGCTTCTCGAGTCGGGCCTGTGGCCACAGCGGGCAGTGGGTGGCTGCCGAAAACCACTAGAGCGTGGGCACACCGGCAACCTTCTGCCCATGGTGTCCAGCGACACATCGCCTCCGAGACCAGCACGGATGGCCACCCCGGCCTTCTCCATGCACCTGCCCAAACCCCTCCTAATGCTATTCAGAGAGGTAGTTTAACAATGCGCCATTGTCATACGGGATGACCCCAAGTTTTGGTATCCTAAGACGGGGAGAAAAGTATTTCTCTGTCCATTTTCTCCCTCCCTCTCAGCTTCTCTGACCCGCAGGGGTCCCTGAGCAGGTGGTGGGTAGGACACGCGTGCCAGGGAGGAGGGCGCCCCAGGTAGAAAGGTGCAGGGGGCTATTTAAACAGCTCCACTGTTTTCTCCACTTCCGTCTCCCCACAGTTGATCAGATCAGCTCCATCTTGAACTGGCTGAAATTCGGCAAAGAGGGAGAGGGGTCGGCCAGGCTGCCGTACGGCGCACAGGGGGGGTTGGCAGGAACCGCGCCCTGGCTGATGGTGGAACTGAGCTGCTGCAGAGTCATGAGCACCTCCTGCTGGAAGCGCTGCTGCTGCTCCTGCTGGCGTTCCAGCTGGCACTGGCGCTCCAAGACCACATGCATCGCTTGCGCAAGCTTCTGGACCTCAGTGTGCACCATGTCCAGTTTCTCTGCAAGGGTCTGGGGGTTGGCAAAGCAGGCCAGGGAGGCAGCCAACGGACCTCCCCGCTGGGAATTTTGCTGGGCTGTAGAGCACATGGCGTGGAACGTGGGGGTCTGTGTAACGGCATCCGTAGTCTGAAACAGAAGGAAAGCAGGTTGTCAGACAGAGTTATCCGTGGCTGGGTACGCACAGTGCAACCTGAGCTCAGCTTCACTCCAGCCTGGGGTCTTCTAGACACTGTGAACTACAACTATGATTCCTGTTACCCAACACCCTTGGCCACGCTGTTGGGAGTTGTTGCCTGAAACTCCCGACGGGTACTAATTCTAGAGAGGGCTAATCTAGGTTTAAGCCCACTTCCCAAGTCGCTATCTGAAAACCAGAACGCTGCACGTGCTTTTTCTCTGAGCCATTGCTTTAGTCATACGGGCATTAAATCAAAACTTCCCGCCTGATTGAAGATTTCTTCAGAACCAGCAAGTGCACCGTGGCCACTTCCCGAGTCGATTATAGCACAACTTTCCCCCAGAGGTGGCATCCTGATGATGGGAATTGTAGTCACACGCCTGTGGCAGGCAGCTGCTCTGGAAAAGACTGCAGCAGCAGAACGCAAGCTTCCAGCAGAGGAGGAGGTACCCAGAACCCCCCTGCTTCCCCACCCCGATATACACACCCCGCCGTCCTTCCAAGCTACTTGCACGCCTTTTGTGTGGAGTCGCCTTTCACGCCCAGGTGTGCAGGGCTCACGCAGCTCACCTGCAGACGGCCGCCAGGAGATGCCGCCCCGGCGGGTCTCGTGCCCCTGGAAGGCTGGCTGGCTGGCGGGCGGGCGGGCGGGACCCCCAGAATGATGGGCGGGCAGGGCACAGCGCTGCAAGGAGGCTGCCCGCTCTGCAGGCTCGCCTGGGGACAAGGGGAAGTGGCCGCAGGAGACCGCTACTCTCCGGCAGCCGCGGCAGCAGCTCCTCCGTGGGAGGCGAGCTGTTCGTTTGTCCGGCTGCTCCGCTTTGTGGCAACGTGGCCGTCCTGGCACCTGCCATCGAGCCTGGGCCAGCTGCTCGTCAAATATTTATACCCCGCCTTTCTTTCCTGCAAGGAACCCATGGCAACGTCCGGGACCTCCCTCTTCATCTTATCCTCATAACAGCCCTGCGAGGTAGCCAGGGACCAGCCCAATGTCACCCAGAGAGCTTCATGGCTAAGGGGAGGCTGGAACCCGGATCGCCTGGGTCCCAGCACAGCACTGCCGCCACTGCAGTGCGCCGGCTTTGCCCATAAAGCAGTGGCGTTGCCCCTCAGCCCCGCAGGCCAGACTGGGCTCTCTGGAAGAGGAGGCACGCCTGCTTTCCCTGGCCGTGGCCTCTTCTACCTCCTACCGTTTGGCAGTCCCACATTTGTGTGTGTTTTTTTCCACCACTCTAAAAAGGCTGATCAGGAATATCGCCTCCCATTCTAATTGAAGGTAGCAGTGTGGCCTAGTGGTTAGGGTGTTTGCCTAGGACTTGAGATCCAGGGTCTAACCAGTTGGCATTCTGTGGTCTTGCCCACTTTGCCTCTGCCTCGCCACCAGTGGTGCTTCCCCAAAACGCAAACCGGGCCTGGAAGAAGTGACGTTGCAGCCGCCAAGGCATTCGTCAGCCTTGACATCAGCCCTGGCACTCTTGATGGGGCAGGAGCAGTGCTCCACCTGAGCCCCCTGCTCTAATTTCCCACAGTGCCCTTGACAGCGCGCTGCTCCAAGATACTGCGGGAACTGCCGTTTTCAGGGAATTGTAGGAATATCTACGTTGCGCACTTTGCCTGTTATAGAACGCAAGTAAGGCAAGAGAAGGGCAGCCGGTGGAGCATGGGCCCCTCTCCTTTCACGCGTGGTTCCTCCTGCTTTCTGCCCACCAGGATCTATCCGTTTGGGCAGCCAAGTTTAGGACAACTAAACTCTTTGTTTTTGCTGTTATTAGAACGTAGTCAGAAAATCTGCCTTTCTCGCAGTCAGTCTATGTTCTGCCTTCCCTTACCCAAGACCTCCTTCCTACCTTTTTCTGGAGGTGGATTGCTCTGCCTACTATCTTCCGCTTCACGATTAAGGCAGGATTCCTAGCAGGAGGCAGAAACGCTTTCCCTTTGCAGTGCGGATTAGGCAGAGGGGCTGCAGGTACAACTGGAGCCGAGCAACTCACCAAAAGGGAAGATTTTGGCATGAGGCAGTTGTCCCCTAGGAGAGAAAAGGGAGTGAAGCAGCCTCCACGGTGTTGCCAGTTTTGCTTTCCTCAAATTTGCTTTTCTGTCCTGCTTTTCTCCTACAAGTTAAAGACCAGTTGCAAAAGCAGAGAGACAAAACCAGGACAAAAATACTGAGCAGGACGGTCTTCTCTGTGGTGGCCCTCCCAATTACAGGACAAGCTCCCCGCGAGGCCTGCCTGGAGCCGCTCCCCACTCCTGTTACAAAAGCTTGACCAGTCAAACACTTTCTCCCAGCCTCAAACCAGAGGGTAGTGCCCTTAGAAAAGCTAGGATTCACGGCACGTCGCCTCAGGAACCTGTGCAGAGCAGAATGCCGTCAGCCTGGGCTTGCACCGTGTGCCGGTGAATTGCAATCAGTGGGCATTTCCCTCAGGCAGAAGGCATGGACAGAGTCATAGCTCTGGAGGGAGCTAGCTTTGCAGGCCACCTACCCTACTCCCCTCACCCCGGTGCAGGAAATCTTTCCCAAAGGCCGGATGTCCCCAAAAGATGGCCTTGGGTGGCCCGCTCCCACTCCATCGGGCCGCTCAAGAAGTCTGCGGAGGCCGCTGCAACGATCCTTACCAAGGCTTGGGCCCAGCTGTGATCCCACAGGGAGGTTCCCATGGCTACTGCCCTGCTGCTCCCCGTCTTTGCTCAAGGACGTCACGCTGACGATCTTGATGCCGCCCTCGCCCTCTGGAGGGCCGTTGCCGTGATGCAGCAGCTCACCGTCCGGAGCGGCTCCCGCGGCAGGCCCAGCACCTTCGCCTGGCTTCTGGTGCCGAGCTTCGTGTCCCTGCAGCAGCTTCCAGAGCTGGTTGTCCTCCCAGCCCGCTGGGTCCGGCAGAGTGTTCTGGCTGCCCTTCTCGAGCAGAGGCAGAGGATGGGGGGCCGGCAGCGGCGGGCTGGGCTCAACATTTTTGCGCTTGAGGAACAGGTAGATGGCTTGCGGAGTGACGCGGATGTTGTCCAGCTCCAGCACCTTTTTGATCTTGCGGAAGCTCAGCCCGGCCTTGCGCAGCTCCACGATCCGTCTCTTGGCCTGGTCATCTAAGCGGCCCATGGCGGTCTCTGACGGAGCCTACAGCTCTGGCCTGCCGCCTCAGCCTGACGTCTGGCAACCCTTTGCAAGAAGCAGCAGTTTTAGAGCACAGTTTTAGAGCATGTGCCAGCCCCACACACGGCCCAGATGTTCCCGGGGTGGCAAGCGGGCTCAGTGAGAGGAAGCCATCAGGAAAGCAGCCCATGTAGCCCCCAACGGTCCAAAGCAGCTGCGGCAAGGGAATTGCAGTGGCGTCATCTTTTAGGAACCGACCCCAGGCAGCTGCCCTGGACGGCAGACTGGTCCTGAAAGCAACGGCGACCGTGCCCTACTGGAGCGGCCATGGGTACTTTACTTGGACATGTGCTTTATGCATATGTCTCTCCGTTAGAATACAGCCAGAAAGGACGAAGGAGGATGGTGGGAAATCTCTCCAGTGAAGTGAAGATGGATCTGCTATAGACCACCGGGACAAGGATGGCCAGCATTGGTCCAGGTGTTCACTCAGTGCGTGCAAAACCTGGAAAAGAAATAAGTTCATAGGCAAAAACGGAAGGCCGAGGTTTCATTTTCTAGCATCTACAGTGCAAGGTGGGAAAGGCCCTCTGCCCTCATGAGACCTTTGAGCATTCCTGCTGTCCGTGCAGCCACAGCTGGTTAGTTCGAGCAAAGGGCTAGTTGGAGCAAAGGGCATGGAAGCTTCCTGTGTGGTTTACTTGTAAAATCTCTGAGGAACTGCTACAACCCCCAGTTCTAGCACAAGAAAACCTAGAGTAATTGAAAACCATTTCCTCTGCTTTCAGCCATACATTTCGGCTGGGATGGATCACTGTGTATTTACTGCCAAACCGTGGCATATAAGAGGACAGAAATCGGCATGAAGGGACTGGCAACGGCTGGCCTGGCAGCAGAGGACCAGCGGGCCGGCGGCTTCCCGGTCAAGAAGCCCATCTGTCATTGAGCTCCTGAAGTCCGGTGACCACAGGGCTCAGTCCACAACGCTTCCTTCTGCACAGAGCAGCACTTTACAGCTGAGCAAATGCATATGAAGAAATAGTCACGCAGGCCAGAACATCTCATTGCTCAATCCTGGAATTCCAGAAACAACTAGAATTTCCTTGCACAGAGGGGCAGGAAGAAGTTCTTTTAGGTTCTTTGGCAGAGCCCAGAATTCTTTTTGAAGCTCCTTTTGTTCTCCACCTTCCTTCACACTAAGGCAGCTTGATAGGAGGGATTTCATGAAGCAATGGATCCTGAGGCTGTTTTCTCCCAACCTTTTAAAAAAACGGTGTTAGAATTCAACATGGTGGGCATTTGACACAGAAGCTGCCTCAGGAAGCTAGGGAACAGCAGATGAACATCTCAAGTTGCAGGCTGTTTTGGCAGCTCCATGATGTTTCACCTCTGCAATGGATGCAAATTGTTCTAAAACTACTATGCAGTAAAGAGTTTTAAGGTGCAATCCTTATGCTACGCTGGCTGGGAAATGCTGGAAGTTGTTGGGTTTTTTCCTGCCTAAATCTGTACAAGATCAGCTCTTGGAAGTTCATTTTCGCATGTTTGCCTCTCACCCTTCCTGTCCAAAAGAAGAGGAAAAATCACTGGAAAGTCACCTATTGGATTTCAGTGGATTGCCAGCACAATCTCAGCTATACAATGCATTTCACTGTTCAGTTAGTCAGGTTTACGGCAGATAACCACCGTTTCTTACAATTTTGCCCCCAAAGCAAGACAGTTACAAAAGAGAAAGGGTTGCACAAATCATTCAGATCAGTTCACGATCGACAGTGTCTGTCCTTCACGCTCATCTTTCTTGCAACGAAGCCTGCTTGATTAGTTAAACATAGCTAAAATCTGCATTTGTACAGAGTTTATGAATCAGCACAGCCAAAGTCCCATCAGATACGCTCCCCAAGAAAGAGGCAAGAAATGGTTCTCTGAGACTCGCCTACCGTTTGCAGAAAAATAGATAAAGAATATGACCCTTTATTTCAGGAGCGGTGATTTCTGGAAACATTCCTCCACCTCTCATCCAAACATGCAAAAGTCTTAGTCTGGATGTGTGATTCTGTATTGTGGCAGTCACACCATGGCTTCAGCCCAGGTATAGGTTCTTACAAGTGTTCTCCCAGCATGGAAAGAAATCAGGACCCGCCCCCCACTTTCATCCCTGCTTGACATTAGGTAAAGGTAAAAGTTTCCCCTTGATGTGAAGTCCAGTCATGCCTGACTCTCGGGGGCGGTGCTCCTCTCCGTCTCCTAGCCAAGGAAGCCAGTGTTTGTCCGCAGATAGTCTCCATGGTCGTGTGGCCAGCATGACTAAACACCGCAGTGCACGGAATGCTGTTACCTTCCCACTGAGGTGGTGCCTTTTTATCTACTTGCATTTGCACGCTTTCGAACTGCAAGGTTGGCAGGAGCTGGGACGGAGCAACGGGAACTCACCCTGTTGTGCAATTCAAACTGACCACCTTTTGATCAACCAGCCCAGCAGAACAGTGGTTTAAACCACTGCGCCACCTGCAGGCCCTGGTGCTTTACATTAATTCACCATAATGAATTCACCCCACCCAACCCTGCTCTGGATGACCTTATTGCTTATCCCAGGATGAACATGAAACAGACTGGCTTCCGCAGAAGATACCAGCTTTTATCACAGCTGCTCACAGCAAACTCGTGTGGGAGGAACCAAGTGAAAACGGGGAGACTGAGAAATAAGAGGGCATATTTGGATGCTCAGGGACTCCCTAAAGGTTTGCAAAAATAAAAAATATTTTTTTTCCGCACAGACTAGCAGAAAAACTTCCATTAACCCTCCCCACCTGGCCCCAGCCGCATGAGGACAGAACTAGTTCACATGGCGTATAACTCAGAAAAGGGAGCCAGTGGCTGTAGTGGTTAGTGCTTTGGGCTGGGACTTGGGAGACCTGGGTTCTAATCTGCACTTGGCCAAGAAGCTCAGAGTGGCTCTGGGCAAGTCTCAGCCTGACCTACCTTACAGGGTTGTGGTGGGGTTAAAACAGAGAGGAAGAGGGCTCTGCCAGCCGCCTTGGGTTTCTTGCAAGAGGAAAGAGGGCGGAATATGTGATGATAATGTTAAAAATGAGGAGAATGGAGAAGTGCAACTAGCAAGAGGAGAAGATGGAAGGTGGCAACAGGAAATACAACTGCGACTATTTGCTGCACACTCTGCCTCTGGAAACAGACCCGCAACTTGTGTGCAGAATGTCACATGCGGTGACAACACGAGCATTTGCTTCCCTGCCGACACGGCGGCTGCGCTGGGCGGACAGTGCTGCCAACGCCAGCCGTGCAGACTCGCTGGCAAGCCGCCATCAGCTGCAGTGGAGGCAAACCGCAGGTCTGGCACCCAAACACCTCGGACACAGCGCAATCGGGAGTCAAGTCTTGCGCAGACAGAGAGCAAAAAAAGGGCTCCCCATGGAAAGGCAAGCAAGCAATAAGGGATGAGGAAATAATGTCAAAGAGGGGAAATGATTCAGAATTGTTGGAATTCATTAGAAGCAGGAAAGCAGCGTGGGCACTGTTGGTCTGCTGGGCGAAAACTGACGTGAAGGACTCCCAGAGGGGGGCAAAGCGGCGGCGGAAAAGCTGAATTAACTCTCTTCATCTGCCTTCGTTGCAGAAGTCGTATAGCAGATACCTGTGTTTAAATTAATATTTCCAGGAAGAAAGAGGAAGTTTTGAACGCTATTTATTTATTTATTTAGAGCATTTTTATGCCGCCCCCTTCGCAAAAAGCCTCGGGGCGGCTTACAAAGCAAATAAACAAATGTAGAATAAACCTTAAAAATCTGGATACATCTCGGCAGAACTATAAAAACCAATAAATAAAGACAGCAATTAACAGTTAAAACATTGTTTAAATAAAAAGGTCTTGGCCTGGCACCGAAAAACAAATAACGACGGCGCCAGGCGGACCTCTCTGGGGAGCGCGTTCCATAAGTGGGGTGCCACTGCAGAGAAAGCCCTCCTCTGGGTACTCACCCTCCTAATATCCTTCACGGAGGGCTCCCGGAGAAGGGCCTCTGCTGCCGATTTCAAGGGGAGGGAGGGCATATATGGACGCAAGCGCTCCTTTAGATAACCAGGTCCCAAGCCATTAAGGGCTTTATAGGTGATAACCAACACCTTGAATTGGGCCCAGACTTCAATGGGAAGCCAGTGAAGCTGGCAGAGGACTGGGGTTATATGAGAACAACACCCCGTTCCCGTCAGCAGCCTGGCAGCTCTGTTTTGCACCAATTGAAGTATCCGGACCGTCTTCAAGGGCAGCCCTATGTAGAGCATGTTACAGAAGTCTAGTCGGGAAGTTACCAATGCGTGTGTCACTGTCACTAGGCAATCATTCACCAGGTAGGGATGCAGCTGATGGATCAGCTGGAGCTGGAGGAAAGCGCTCTTCACCACCACCGTCACCTGAGCTTCTAACGACAGCTCTGGGTCAAGGAGCACTCCCAAGCTGTGGACCCTGTCCCCAAAAGGGAGTGCAACCCCATTCAGGACAAGGTCCAGGTCCCCTACCCCGAAGCCCAAACCACCTACCAACAGGACCTCCATCTTGTCTGGATTGAGCTTCAGTTTATTGGCCCTCATCCAGCCCATTACCTCGGCCAGGCACCGGTTCAGCACAGCCACTGCCTCACCTGGATTGATTGAAAAAGAGAGGTAAAGCTGGGTATCATCAGCGTACTGATGATTCCGCAGCCCACACCTCCTGATGACCTCTCCCACCGGTTTCCTATAGATGTTAAACAGCAAAGGGGACAAAATGGACCCCTGCGGTACTCCATGGCATAGCTGCCATGGCGCAGAGCCATAGTTCCCCAGCACCACCTTCTGGAATCGGCCATTGAGATAGGAGCAGAACCACCTCAGAGCAGTGCCTCCAACTCCCAATCCCACTAGTCTATCCAGAAGGATACCATGGTCGATAGTATCGAAAGCCGCTGAGAGGTCCAGGAGAACCAACAGGGACGCACTCCCCCTGTCCTTCTCCCTGCACAGGTCATCGTACAGGGCGACCAAGGCAGATTCAGTACCATACCCAGGTCTGAAGCCGGACTGAAATGGGTCCAGATAATCAGTTTCATCCAAGAGTGCTTGGAGTTGTCCCGCCACCACCCGCTCTAGCACCTTGCCCAGGAACGGGATGTTGGCCACTGGTCTATAATTAGTGGCCATCTCTGGATCCAGGGATGCCTTCTTTAGGACTGGCCGGACTACCGCCTCCTTTAAAGGGGCAGGTACCCGGCCGTCCCTTAGAGAGGTGTTGATGACCTCCAGGATCCAGGCCCCTATCCCGTGCTTGGCTTTCTTGAGTAGCCAAGATGGGCAAGGGCCAGTAAGCAGGTGGTGGGGCGTACTTGTCCAAGCACCTTGTCCACGTCATCAGGCCGCAACAACCGAAACTCATCCATCAATTTTGGACCAGACGACAACATTGGCACCTCCCCAGAAGGCTCTGAGTCACTAGTGGAGTCCAGCTCGGGACGAATC